AAAATATCTGGGAATAAATCTAACCAAGGAGGCGAAAGAATTATACACAGAAAACTATAAACCACTGATGAAGGAAATTAAAGAAGACTTTAAAAAATGGAAAGATATTCCATGCTCTTGGATTGGAAGAATCAATATTGTTAAAATGGTCACAGCTGCCCAAGGCAATCTACAGATTTAATGCAATCCCTATCCAATTACCCAGGACATATTTCACAGAACTAGAACAAATCATAATAAAATTTATATGGAACCATCAAAGACCTAGAATTGCTAAAGCATTACTGAAGAGAAAGAAAGAGGCTGGAGGAATAACTCTCCCAGACTTCAGACAATACTATAGAGCTACAGTCATCAAGACAGCATGGTATTGGTACCAAAACAGACATATAGACCAATGGAACAGAATAGAGAGCCCAGAAATGAACCCACAAACTTTTGGTCAACTCATCTTCGACAAAGGAGGCAAGAATATACAATGGAATCAGTCTCTTCAGCAAATGGTGTTGGGAAAACTGGACAGCAGCATGTAAAACAATGAAGCTAGAACACACCCTTACACCATATACAAAAATCAACTCAAAATGGATTAAAGGCTTAAACATAAGACAGGATGCAATAAACCTCCTAGAGGAAAACATAGGCAAAACATTATCTGACATACATTTCAAAAATTTTCTCCTAGAAGAAATAAAAGCAAGAATAAACAAATGGGACCTAATGAAACTTACAAGCTTCTGCAGAGCAAAGGAAACCAGAAATAAAACAAGAAGAAAACCTACGGAATGGGAGAAAATTTTTGCAAGTGAAACCGACAAAGGCTTGATCTCCAAAATATATAAGCAGCTCATACGACTCAATAAGAAAAAAATAAAGAACCCAATCCAAAAATGGGCAGAAGACCTAAACAAGCAATTCTCCAAGGAAGACACACAAATGATCAAAAAGCACATGAAAAAATGTTCAATATCACTAATTATCAGAGAAATGCAAATCAAACTACAATGAGGTATCACCTCACACCAGTCAGAATGGCCGTCATTCAAAAATCCAAAAATGACAAATGCTGGAGAGGCTGTGGAGAAAGGGGAACCCTCCCTACACTGCTGGTGGGAATGCAGTTTGGTGCAGCCACTATGGAAAATAGTGTGGAGATTCCTCAAAAGACTAGGAATAGACTTACCATATGACCCAGGAATCCCACTCCTGGGCTTGTACCCAGAAGGAAATCTACTTCAGGATGACACCTACACCCCAATGTTCATAGCAGCACTATTTACAATAGCCAAAACATGGAAACAGCCTAAATGTCCATCAATAGGTGACTGGATAAAGAAGAGGTGGTATATTTATACAATGGAATACTACTCAGCCATAAAAACCGACAACATAATGCCATTTGCAGCAACATGGATGCTCCTAGAGAATGTCATTCTAAGTGAAGTAAGCCAGAAAGAGAAAGAAAAATACCATATGAGATCGCTCATATGTGGAATCTAAAAAACAAAAACAAACAAACAAAAACAAAGCATAAATACAGGACAGAAATAGACTCATGGACAGAGAATACAGACTTGTGGTTACCAGGGGCGGGGTAGAGGGTGGGAAGGGATAGACTGGGATTTCAAAATTGTAGAACAGATAAACAAGATTACACTGTATAGCACAGGGAAATATACACAAAATGTTATGATAAATCACAGAGAAAAAAATGTGACAATGAGTGTGTATATGTCCATGAATGACTGAAAAATTGTGCTGAACACTGGAATTTGACACAACACTGTAAAATGATTATAAATCAATAAAAAATGTTAAAAAAATAATTTTTTGTTTTGGGGGTTTGTCCTCTGTGCTGTAGGGTATATAGCAGCATCCCTGACCTCTACTCACTAGATGCTAGTGGTACCTTCTGCTCCAGGTATGACAAACAAAAATGACTCCAGATACTGCCAAATGTCCCCTGGGGGGCAAAATCACCCCTAGATGAGAACCACTGGTTTATATCACTCTTCTGCCCAAAACACTGTGATAGTTCCCCATTTCACTGAGTAAATGCAAATCCTTAATAGTCTATATAGCCCTGCCTGACCTGGCCACCTCCTCTACCATTTTGTACCTCTCTGATCTCATCTGCTTCTGTCCTTCCTCCTCTGTTATGCTAATCCAGTCACACCAGCTTCCTTCTAGCCACTTCTACCTTAGAGATTTTGTTCTAACTGTTCCCTCTACCCAGAACACTCTTCCAGGTTTTTGCATGGCTAACTCCTTCAGTTCTTTCAAGTGTCTGCTCAAATTTGATTTTGCCAGTAAGGCCTGTCCTGATCATTCTGTTTTATATTACAACCTGTGCCCCAAACATAGTGTGCCTTACCTACAGCTTTCCGTAGTGTATATCACTGTGCAACATGCTAAATAATGTTTGCCCCTACTAGTATTTGTGCCTGCACAAACACATACTCCTTTTTCTTTTCTAAATTACCAATGTCTCTGTTTTATTCAAAAACAATTTTTTTAAATGAATGGAGGAGGTTAGAGCTAGATTTGGAAGGATAGATGGGATTTGCATGGCTGTAAATTAAGGGGAAGCAAAATGAAGAGGAAATTCAATGGCACAAACAAAAGTACAAGATAAAGAAATGTATAGATAAGTATGAAGATAGGTTTTTTAGTATACCAAGCCTAGATGGAGTTAAGGGTTCAGGATTCGGTGTAGAAGAGATACAGTTGTAGATAGGTTGGAACCAGATGGGATGCTAGGTTGGAGAGTATGGACTACACAAGCCAATCAGAAATGCAGGGGAATCATTTAAGATTTGTGAGTTAGAGAGTTGATAATGGTGAAAGTTGCATATTACGACAGACGCTGGTTTGGCTCACTCAAAATCCATTCCAAACTCCTTCTAATGTCCCTTCCTATAAATTAGAGGCTGTAAACAGTTTTCAGATTACCTTCAGCTAGGGTTCCAGATATGATTTAGTTTCTACTAAATCATATATGCACTTGTCTGAGGCCTGAATCCAGAACTGAGTTACATAGGAAGAGAGGTGGCATATGAGGCATCCATTTTGCTAGAAGCAAGGCATTGTAGTTGTAGAGCTAGTGTATACAAACAGTGATTCATTTGCTTTTCTGGTCCCGTATTACAGACAAGTCATCTCACACTCCAGCAGGTAAGGTTAGTTTAATAGGCTATTTAATAGCAACCATATTCCTTCTAAAGCAGTAATTTATTTGTAATTTATGCTTATCTGTACCCAGATAAGTGTGTTTTCTAACTTTCCTACCAAGCATATATGTTTATATACAAAATTTACTCTTCTTTTAAGCATGGTAGATGTGTCCTGCCTGAAAAATATCAGGATTTGCCTTTAAGTTAGCACTTTACACTTTCATCATTTTCTATTTCCATAGGAAAGGCATTATTAGCCGTTTGCTACACCTCAGTAGTAAGCATTTGGGTCTACAAGGTTAAGGGCCCTATTTTAGTAGAAGGATTTCTAATTTTAAGATAAAATTCTGTATCTTTCTAGACCTTGTTGTTGTCCTTGTTGTTCCAGTGAGGTTCAAAGGGAATAAATCTGTCATTTAAAAAAATCCTTTTCCCCAGTGTGACCCCTATTTGAAAGAGTGTAATTTCTGAAGCTCAGAGCCACAGATATTTTTCTTGCCTGAGAGTTAGTATATTAGGTGTTTGCCTCTCTCGAAATGATCTTCAATATTAAAATTGTCCTGGTCATGATCCTAAGAGTTTTATACATAAATTCAATATATGATTGATCTTAGGAGTCTGGATCTAGGTTTTTTCCCCCATTTCTATTTCACAGTTTCTGTTGTTTCCACATCTTGTTTCTCCCACCCCACCCACCGTAATCTGGAAAAGGTAATTCCTGTTCCTATTATGTTCAAACCAAAAGTTCCTTTGAGACTCTCTTCATTTTTACTGTATCGCTAAATGCATGTAACACCTAAGATAAATATCAAATATCATACTCATTGTTTATATTATTATTTAGCTAGTCTCATCAGTATTTTAAGATTTATATTCCATTGTATAACAAAAACTATTTCATGTCGGTCAGGGCTGATTCATATGTATTCAGTGTATTTAATAAAATCTTTTCTTGTTGATTCTTTAAAATTTCTTAATTAACTTATATTGGTGTAAAAATTCTTACTCAACATATTTCAGAAAAATTGCTTACATCCTATGAAAGAAACTTTTAATCTGTTGTTCATTTTGTAGGTCATTGAAGACAATGGTGTTCGAAGAGTTGTTGTGGTTCCTCAGGCACCAGAGTTTCATCCTGGTGGTCACACCGTCATCCACCGTTCTCCACATCCTCCTCTGCCTGGTTTTATTCCTGTCCCAACCATGATGCCCCCTCCGCCACGCCATATGTACTCACCAGTAGCTGGAGCTGGAGACATGGCAACACAGTATATGCCACAGTATCAGTCTTCACAAGTATATGGAGATGTAGGTAAGACATCTAAAGACATTCCTGTTTCATGGCGTTGACTATTCTTTGCTTGGATATAATAGAGGCTGTTATATTATATAAAAGAAACCAAAAAATGGTAACAATATCACAATCATTTTCTGTTAACTCAAACACTATGTTAAATTTTTCATCCTCCTGATCACCCTTCAAGGCAGATGAGTAAACAGAATATCAAACAGGACACGTAATCATGCAGCAATATTTAGTGGGGACACATTCAAACAAGAGGTCTTCTCCTCTGTCCTGCTGTTCTCTAGGCTCTGAGGAAATTTTTTATCCTGGAACAATCATGCTACTGTTAAATCGTGAAGGGTCTGGTGCCACTTACAAAGTTGTTAGGTTCCGTAAGAGATAAGAAAAACAGAATAAGACATAACCTCTGCCCTCAGGGAGCTGATATAGCTAACTGCGTGCGCGCGCGCGCGCGCGCACACACACACACTCACACACTCACACACTCACTCACTCACTCACTCACTCTCACTCTTATTTTTTCTATTGCTTTAAATACCTTCAATATTCTCAAATTTGTATCTTCAGTCAAACCTCTCCTGAGCCCCAGACTTTAATTTCTAACTGCCGTCTTGATGACTCCACTTAAGTGTCTCATGCATCTCAGTTACAGCATTTGGAAACAAATCTCAATTATGGAACCTGTTTTTCTCTGTCATCTTCATCTTGATAGGTGGTACCACTGTCCACTCAATTTGGCAAGTGAAAACTAGATAGCCAAATTTGATTCCTCCTCTTTCAACCCCCACATCAATTGGTATCTATTTACAGAAGTTTCCCAAATTTATTTACTTTTTTCCCAGTGCTACTCACATCTAGTCCACCATCACCTCTTGTCAGAGCAACTGCAACAGCAGCCTTCCAGTTAGTTTTCTGCTGTCATTCTTGCCCCCAACCATCCAGGTTCAGCCAGAGTAATTATTTTAAAATATAAATCAGACCATTCTCCTATTTAATAGATTTCAGTGACTTTCCGTTGCATTTAGAATGAAATCCTAAACCTTTCCCCTAGACCAGGATTTCTCAACCTCAGCACTCTTGATATTTGAGGAAGGGTAAGTCTGTTGTGGAGGACAGAACTCTACATTATAGGATGTTGAGAAGGATCCCTGCCATCTACCACTAGATGCCGGTAGCACACAACTTCAGCCTTTCCCCTCACCCCAACTCAATTCAACAATTAAAAATATCTCTGGATATTGCCCAATGATTCCTGGGGGCCAAAACTGACTGCCCTCAAGAAGATCCTGCCCTGTGGCCTCAGACTGCTTTGTCTCAGTTGTTTCCACACACGCGCCCCCACCTTCAATTTTTCAGACCCTCCAAGCTCTTCCTTGCTTCAGTGCCTCTACAAATGATGTTCTCTCTGCTAGAAATGCTCTTCCCCTTTTCCTGTGGAATGGAAGGCCTTTTTTTCCCCGTTAGGTTTCGGAGAGACCTTCTGTAACCTTTCCTTATCAGTCTCTAGCACTGAAACCTGTTTCTTTCATAGAACTTAACACAATTGGATTTTTTTGTTGTTTATTTGTATGTCTTTCTCCTTTATTTGACTGTAAACCCCCTAAGAACTGAATCTGTTTTATTCATCACTGTTTTTCTTGCACTTAATCAATACCTATCATCTGTGCTTAGTAACTTTGTAGAAGAAATAACTCTCAATACAGAATTTAAATTATTCAGCACAACCTGTAAGTAGTAGATATATATATTATCTCATACATTATAATTTTTTCCAGACTTATTTCTATTACCCAGGAAAAGCTTATCAGTTCTGCAGGTCTAAATGTGGTTTGGTTTTCTGCATTTCTAACAAATTTCCAGATAAGGCTCATGCCATGGTCCAATGAGCATACTTTTGAATAGCACGCATTTATATTATAAATTAGTCTCTTCCATTTTTTTATTCCTAAGTATGACTTAATTTTCTCAAACACAGTTGTAAAAAATATAAGGAAAAGCTAAATGGTACAATTACAACTATTTTTCATTGTTAAAATCCTTTATTAATTCAAAAGGGATATGCATTAGAATATGTGAGTATGATTCACAGTGATGAGAAGGAAAGTGAAGCATACAAACGTACAAAGAGCATAAATCTAAAAACCAGCTACCCAACGATGGAAGACAAGAGTCACATTGTATTTGAGGTTATAAGCCAAGGAATTTACCACCGAATCCTAATGACTTACAATAGTTTATAACCAGTAGCTGTCTCCATGACCCCTTTTCCATGCATATTTTGTATGGCTTCCCATAGTGGGACCTAATCCAGCATTTTACTTCAACTACTACAGTTACTAAGCCTGAACTTTGCTACACACTGTGCTCATACATGTATTACCTCACTTACAAAAAACCTACAAAATAGAGATGAAGAAACTGAAGCTCAGGAATGTTAAATAAGTAATTTCTATAGGGACTCAGCTAGTTCATTGCTGAGAATTTTAACCCTTTGAGATCTGTTTGATAATTTCCTGCTCTGTTTTACTACAACATATTTTTATTTCCCCTGCATGATTAGTTTATCATTATATTTGAGTAAGAAATGAAATATTAAAACATGTGGACAACCACATTTTAAAAGTATGCACTAATTACATTTCCTATGTTTTTTCTTTTTTTATTGCAATAATTCATGTAACAGAATTCACCATTTTAAAGTGTACAATTCAGTGGTTTTTAGTATATTCACTAGGTACCATTTTCACTATGGCTATCTAATTCCAGAATGTTTCTGTCATCCCAAAAAAGAAACTGTGTCTATTAAGAGTCAGTCCTAATTCCCTCTTTTTCCCCATTTCCTAGTCTACTTTCTACCTCTGTGAAGTAGTCTATTCTAGACATTTCATGTAAACATTCATACATTATATGGCCTTTTGTATTTAGCGTTTTTCACTTAGCTTATTAATTTTCAAGGTTTAGTTCAAGCTTGTAACATGATCAGTATTCCATTCCTTTTTATGGCTGAAAAATATTCTATTATGTGGCTGTAATTTTGCTTATCCATTAATTAGTTGATAGACATTTGGGTTGTTTCTCCTTTTTGTCTATTCTGAATAATGGTGCTGTGACATTTGTGTACCAGTTTTTGTGTAGATGTATGGTTTCATGTCTCCTGGATATATACCTAAGAGTGGAATTGCCAGCTTACATGGTAATTCTGTGTTTAACTTTTTGAGGAACTGCAAAATTGTTTTCCATAGTGAATGCACTATTTTACATCCCCACCAACAATGTATGAGGGTTCTGATTTCTCCCCTATCCTTGCCAAAACTTGTTACTGTCTGTCTTTTGATTATAGCCATCCCAGTGAGTGTGAAGTGTTATCTCTTTATGGTTTTGATTTGATTGTCCCTGATAACTACTGGTGTTAAGCATCTTTTCATTTGCTTATTGGCAGTTTTTAAATCTTCTTTATAAAGATGTCTATTTAAATCCTTTATCTGTTTTTAATTGGGTTGTCTTTTTATTGTTGAGTTGTAAAGAGTTTTTATATTCTGGATACAAGCCCTTTATCAGATAAATGATTTGCGGATATTTTCTTTCATATTGTCTTGTTACCTTCTTGATGATATCCTTTGATGCAGAAAGGTTTTTAATTTTGATGAAGTCTGCCTGACTTTTCCTTTGATTCCTCTTACTATTGGTATCATATCTAAGAAACTTACCTAATCCAAAGTCATGCAGATTTGTACCTGTTTCCTTCTGTAAGTGTTATATAGTTTTAGCTTCTACATTTAAGTCTTTGAATCATTTTGAGTTAATATTTGTATATAATGTTAGGTAAGGCTCTAAACTTACTCTTTTACTTGTATATATCCAAATTCCTATGTTTATATTTTAATATTATTATACATGTCCTTACAATAATTAAGAATATTAATTTTCTTAAATCACTAGTAAAATAAGACTTTTTTATTGAGATATTTGAGGCTTCTTTTTAGAAATGTTTTCCTCACTACAGATTTTAAATTTAAAAGGAACAACTGAGGACAATTGGTGTAACAGTATTTACAAATGTATTGATTTTGTTATATTGCTGTATGACATTTTATTAGAACAAATACATTCTTCTAAGTCACAGCCTTGAGTTTACAATATCTGAGGATGTAATACTTTGTACCTAAATTCTGTCATTAGTAAATAATCACACTCACTTCTTTTTGCTAACTTAAAGCCCTGTAAGTTTAGTGATGATTTGCTTTTTTAAGTCACATGAGGGAATTTAGGCAGGTGGTGATTTTTCTTTTTATCTTTTTTATATGTTTGAAGTTGAAAGAGATGCTAAAAGTGATGGCTACAAAAAAGTAAAAGAAGAACTGTGCACAGCTTAGTTCAGATCTTATCACCGACCTGTGATAGTCTTGGTATACCACACCAAGCTGTTTCTATGAAGATTAATAGTTGATAAAAAATGAAGGGAAGAAATGTCTGTAAGATTATAATTATAATCAAGTTACAAAGTTTAGTTCCCTCAGTTGGTAGAGACACAGAAATTTTGCTTTGTTGTGCAGTTATGTTTTGAAATATTTTATAGTAAGTTTTATATAATATAATGATAGATTTATTTCGTATTCTTTTCTCATGCCATAAACGTGTTTGGAGAAAGTAACCTTTTAAAATTTTTTTTCTGATTTCTTCTTAGATGCTCACTCTACACATGGAAGGTCCAACTTTAGAGATGAAAGATCTAGTAAAACATATGAACGTTTGCAGAAAAAATTAAAGGATCGCCAAGGAACACAGAAAGATAAAGTGAGCAGTCCACCATCATCACCTCAGAAATGCCCTTCTCCCATAAATGAACATAATGGACTTATAAAAGGGCAGAATGCCAGCGGTGGAAACACAGGATCAGTAAAGAACAAGTCAGGAAAAGGGAAAGGTGGTGCACAAATTGATACAGAAATAGAAGGTAACTATTTAAAATAAAATATGTTGTAATTAGTGCTTTTCATCATTATTTAACCTACGAAAAGTATATTCTAACCTTTCAGTCATTTCGTCATGCTTCACTTAAACTATAGATTAATAGCCTAACACTTTCTAAATGTGAGGGCAGAGTTTTAGAACCTAACTATTTACTAGGGTACTTCTTTTTACATTTTAGGAAAGCTCAGTTAATAATTTCACCTATATCATAAATTTTACTAACAAAGAGAAATTTCTACCAGATAGGAGAGCTTAAAATTAAAGTTCCTCCAGATTCCTTTTCTTCTCTTTCTGGACCTGAATAAGGAAGGCTATGTTGGTTTTTATCAAAACTCTTTGTTTCTCCCAGTTTCTTTATATGCAAGTCCCTGATAGCAACTAGTTAATGTCATTCACCAGTCTATTTATATACTCTATAGTTCGGATACAGTATTGCCCATTCCTTTCTTCAAAAGTTCTCTTCTCTTAAAACCCTCATGTTTCCCCTCATGGAACTCTCCGCTAACTTGTGACTTCCATATATGAACTCTGAGTACTACTTTTTAAAATTTCCATTCCCCGTCAACAAATGTAATGCTTTAACAACCTCATGGCTTGTATATTAACGTTTATAAAAATATTCTCCCATGTTTTTGAGACCTCCTGATCATTCTTTCCAGCACTAATGTTTCAGAAGAGTTAAACTAAAGTTTCAGATACATCAGTGGTAGCTATAAGTTATGGTCAAGTCAATTATATTCCTATTTTGGGAACCACATTTAAAGGCATGTCATGACACAAATACTCAGTTAACTTGTCAATTTAAGAGGTATGAGATTGGCAAATAAGAACTTTCCATAGAGAGTATTTTTGACAACTATGAATAAAAAATACACTTTCTATAAGAAAAACTTACTGACTAGTTCAGATATATATAGTGGTATTATAATTAGTAATCATGGCTAAAATGGAAACAAACTGAGGCAGAAGAACTCTAAAAAGCCACAAACTGCTGAATATGAACTAAGGAATAAAGCTAGACAATAAAAATCTCAAATATGAACCCTATTGGTATTTGTTTTAGACAACATATTGTGAAGGGAGCAGAATGACTGCATTTAAGTCTTTTTTTTTTTTTTAAGAAAAAGATGAAGAAACTAAAGCCTTTGAAGCACTTCTTTCCAACATTGTCAAACCAGTGGTAAGTAGCTCATGTATTTTCTTGACATTTATATTTAATATATTCATATAGGATTTTGGTATATTCAGGCCTTACTTAAAACTTAACTATATGAAGGAACATGAGATTAGTAATGGATCGATACATATCTGACATAAGGAGAAATAGGTTAATTACTGAAGCAGAATGCTCAGCCAAGAGTTCGTTTTTAAAACAAGGTTTTAATATATTCTAAATGACATTGAAAATCATTGGACCAAGTAAAGATCAAATAAAGATGTATGACTGATTACCAGTTTTTTCAAAACACATTTATATTATTTCCATATAAAATATGTCCAGTTAACTACAAATGCAAAAAGAGTTAAAATCAAACCATAGAAGAAAGTTAATATTCCCCAGTCCTTTTGTAAGTGTAGATGTAACAGAAGAAATCAGAAAACCAGAAAAGGGTATGACAGCAAAACTGGCCACATAAAATTTTTTGTGTATTTTTAAAATAGCCTAAATAAAGGCTGTCATTCTAATAGGAAAAATATTTACATCAGGTAAGACAAAGGATTAATATTAAGTAAAGTGCTCATATAAACTGAATTTTTTTAAGCCTATTAATATCCCATGGTCCTACTTTTTCTGACAACCCTAAATAATAGATTTGGATGCTCTAGTTATTTTCATTCCAATTTGTTTTCTCTTAAGATTGAGCATATGCTTGTAAATTAATGTGAACATTTACAGAATTATGTCACAGTAATAGCTAACACAAGTTTACTAGTGTCAGGCTTTGTTCAAAGTGCTTTGAATACCTATGTGCATTATTTTCTTAAATTCCTACAACAACCCTCTCTATATATTATTTTCCCTATCCTACAGATGAGGAAACTGAAGCAAGAGTAGGTTCTCTAAGTAGTGTTGAAACTGGGGTTGAAATTCAGGCAGTAATCTTCCAAGATCTCTATATATCCAAATGTGTATCACTAGATTTGCAACAAAAGGAATTTGGTAGCCTTAATAGAAATGATACTTGAATGACATAATAGCTAATGCTAGTCGCATTTACTTGTTATAATAGTTACTTATAATATTAAAAGTATGATTTTTCAGACACATAAAGCATGAAATAATTCTTTTAAAGAATTTCTTGCTCAATATTATGAGGAAGATATAACTTAGTAAAAGAATAAGCCCTGTGTCATAAAACAAAGTAACGCTGATGGTTTTGTTTTGCTTTGTTTTGTTTTAGTTTGTTTTTACAGTTTGGGTAACTATGTCTTTTTTATTAAATTTCTTGTGAGCTGTGAAGTACAGGTCAGGGTTTTTTTATTATTTTTGTGTGTATGGTTGTTTTTGCATGCTCTAGTTCAGTTAGGACACCAAATTAAATGAATTCATTCACTTAATCATTCCATAAATATTTGACCATTTACAAAATATCAGATGCTGCCTAGAAGCTGGAGACAGTCTAGAAAGCAAAGGACATACATGGCCCCTGCCTGCAGAGTGTAGGAGTCACCATAATGCAATAAATATAAAGTTGTGTCTGTGAAGTACCAGAACAAAGTGATTTAGTGCTATAAGAATATATACTAACAGAGGAACTAAAACTTGACAGGAATGTCAAAGGAATTCACAGGAATTTCACAGTAGCTGTATTGCAGTCTGCTTCTTTACAACTCATTATAATCCATCTGAAACCAGCACCAGAAAATAGCATTTTTTAAATTGAAGTACAGTCAGTTACAGTGTGTCAATTTCTGGTATACAGCACAATATTCCAGTCATGCATAGACATACATGTATTCATTTTCATATTCTTTTTCATTAAAGGTCATTACAAGATATTGAATATAGTTCCCTGTGCTATACAGAAGAAATTTGGTTTTTGTATCTATTTTTATATATGTGGCTAACATCTGTAATCTCAAACTCCCAAATTTATCCCTTCCCACCCCACTTCCTCTGGTAACCATAAGATTGTTATGTCTGTGAGTCTGTTTCTGTTTTGTAGGTGAGTTCATTAGTGTCCTCTTTTTTTCTTTTTTTAGATTCCACATATGAGTTATATCATATGGTATTTTTCTTTCTCTTTCTGGCTTACTTCATGTAGTATGACGATCTCCAGATTCATCCATGTTGCTACAAATGGCATTATTTTATTCTTTTTTATGGCTGAGTAGTATTCCAGTGTATAAATATACCACAACTTCTTTATCCAGTCATCTGTCGATGGACATTTAGGTTGTTTCCATGTCTTGGCTGTTGCATATAGTGTTGCGTGAACATTGGAGTGCATGTATCTTTTTGATTTAAGGTCCTTCTGGATATATACCCAGAAGTGGGATTGCTCGATCATATGATAGAAATCTATTTTTAGTTTTTTAAGGAATCTCCATACTGTTTTCCCTAATGGCTGCACCAAATCACATTCCCACCAACAGTGTAGGAGGGTTCCCTTTTCTTCACACCCTCTTCAACATTTATCATTTGTGGACTTTTTAATGATGGCTGTTCTGACTGGTGTGAGATGATACCTCGTAGTTTTGATTTGCGTTTCTCCCCTCATTAGTGATATTGAGCATTTTTCATGTGCCTATTGGCCATTTGTATGTCTTCATTGGAGAACTGCTTGTTTAGATTTTCTGGCCATTTTTGAATTGGATTGTTTTTCTGTTATTAAATTTTATGAGCTGTTTATGTATTCTGGAAATTAAACCTTTGAGTCACATCATTTGCAAATATTTTCTCCCATGCTGTAGGCTGTCGTTTTGTTTTGCTTGTGGTTCCTTTGCTGTGCAAAAGCTTTTAAGTTTAATTAGGTCCCATTTATTAATTTTTGCTTTAATTTCTATTGCCTGGATAGACTGCCCTAGGAGAACACTGTTAAGATTTATGTCAGAGAGTGTTTTGTCTGTGTTTTCTCTAGGAGGTTTATCGTGTCTTGTCTTATATTGTCTTTAAGCCATTTAGAGTTTATTTTTGTGTATGGTGTAGAAAATAGCATTTTGAGGCGTTTTTGAGACTACATTAATTCTCCTTCTCCCTGCAGTATTTGACACTGTTGATCACTTCCTTTTTCTCCTATGATCCTTTTAATGGTCCATTATCTGTCTCTCTCTTTCTCCCTTAATCTGCTGTGCTCATGAACATGAAATTACTAGGGAACTTTTTAAAATACACACTCACACATGTTCCGACAGCTTACCCATTTCTTTTCTGCCAAATTATATCCCATCCCATCCCAAAATCTTAAAAATTCTATTCAAAATTCACTTCTTATGAAGTTTTCCATAGCAGCCCCAGTGTAATCACTTCTTTCGTGCCTTAACATTTATTTGCAAGTAACAAAATATGTTTTTTATAGAATGAGTTGAGACTAAGAGTTTTCTGTAAAAACAGATTGTCTAGAAAAGTTGAAATTAACAGTGTGTCCTAATTTTTTTTAACTATACTTGGTAAATTCAACATGGTATCCTGGAAAAGTCTATTTAGTTAATAATTAAAAGTATAGTTTAGTTAAATTTTTAATAACAATATTCTACCAGTGTTAATTTCTTAATTTTGACAAAAAAATACATTGTTATACAAGATGTTAACATTAGAAGAAGCCAGGTAAAAAGTATACAGGAACTCTGTGTATATATTATCTTCCCCACTTTTCTGTAAATCTAGATTTATTCCTCTAAAAAGCCTTTTAAAAATACTGTATTTGATTAATTATGGTAAACAGATCATCTCACTTATTTTATAGATGAAACTTGGAACCTAAAAGGTTGAGAGTTTAGTATCATCAAGCAAATTAGTGACAAGTCTGGTGCCTCCATACTTGTCTCTACCGCCTATACTTCTGATGATGTAGTCAGTACCCACAGTGCCTAATAAAATAAGCTTTATAATGTAGATACCAGTTAATGCTACTGACTGACTTGTCTTCAGGGTACTGTTCAATTACCTATTTTCACAGTTTAACACAGTTATGATCCTCCCATAAAATCAAGAAACTCTAAAGGGTATGCATATATATACATATGCACATATGTTAACATTAAACATAATCTTGCAGTTACAGGTTAATAGCCAGAGGACACTGGTTAAAACAAGGAATCATTTTTAAGTCCACTATAAATGAAACATAGTGCTGTACTAAGATTTTTTAAAGACAATATGATGGTAAATATTACATTTCCTGTGACTCAATAGAAGCAGATTAAATACAGTAATAGTCTTCTGAATTATTTCAAGCTTTAGGATCTGTGAAAAGGAGAGAAAATTATGCTTGTGTACAAATTGTTCATTCTGCTGATTCAAGATAGGGTGCTCTTCATCCTAGTGGTTGTTGGTTTTATTTTGTTTCTGTTTGTTTTGTTATCTTTGACTAAGATAGCCATTAAATGTAGGTATTTTTAAAGTATGCTTTTACATTAATGTCCAGGTATAATCTGATACCTTTGTTACCAAATTTTAGTTTAAATCTAATCCCGAGACTTTTTTTTTCTCTTTATTAGACTTTTATTATAAAAGTAATCCAAAATATATAGAACACTATTAAAACCTGTTTTTCTCTCGCAATTCTCCCTGCATCCTACTACATATACATACAAAATCCTCAGAGGTAAGAATTAGTACATTTTTACAGTACATTTTCCGATCTTTGTATGTATTTTTAAATTTCTTTAACACAGCTGAGATCATAGCATATATACTGCTTTGCAACTTTTTTTCCCACTATTACATAGCACCGATATATATTTTTAATTTTTTAACACCTTTATCGTGGTATGGTTCCTATACAGTAAACTGCACGTTTGAGGTGTACACTTTGATGAATTTTGATAGATGTATGCACCCATGAAACCACTACTACAATCAAGGTAGCTAACATTTCCATCACTCCCCAAGAGGTGCAGTTTTCAAACTCCCAGTTTATCCCTTCCAACCCCCTTTAACCCTGGTAACTGTAGGTTTGTTCTCTATGTCTGTGAGTCTATTTCTGTTTTGTAGATAAGTTTGTTTGTGTCCCCTTTTTTTGTAGATTCCACATACAAGTGATACCATATGGCGTTTTTCCTTTCTCTTTCTGGCTTACTTTACTTAGAATGACAATCTCCAGATCCATCCATGTTGCTGCAAATGGCATAATTTTATTCTTTTTTATGGCCAGTTAGCATTCCATTGCATGTATATACCACATCTTCTTTATTCAGTCGTCTGTCAACGGACATTAATTTGGGTTGTTTCCACGTCTTGGCTATTGTAAATAGTGCCATAGCACTGATATATTGAGGGCATCTTTAAAATGTCAGCACATAACATGTCTACCTCATTCTTTTGTGAGTAGCTGCGTAGTAATGTTAAGCTATACCAATATTTCCTATTTCTTACCATTATTAACAATGCTGTGATGAGTATTCTTAATTGCATATATTTATGTACTGATGTAAGTTTATGGAATATTATCCTGGAAAAAAATTCCTGAAAATAGAATTTCTGAGTCAAAAAGTAAACACATTTTAAATTTTTATAGTGGTTCCTAAGTAGCTCTACGCAGGGATTGTACCAGTATATACTCCTATCTCCGTTTAAGAGAGTACCCATTTCTCCAAACCCTCAACACACTGGATATTATCAGTTTTTTAATCTTCCCTAGCCCAGTGGATGAAAAGTGGCATCTTGTTTTAATTTATATTTACTTAGTTATGAATCTAGTTAGGTTTATTTTAATTTATATATTTTTATTTTAAATATTATTCATTTATATTTTATTTCTTTGGACAGTCCACGTTCTTTGCTCATTTTTCTCTTGAGTTTTTGGTCTTTTTCTTACTGTTGGACACTTTCTAAAGTGAGGAAATGAACCCTCTCAGATATATTACAAGTGAGTTTTTTCTGCCATTCTTTCTCTTGACTATAGGATGTTTACTCTAATAGTTTTAAATAGCCCAAAATGGTCTTTTGTTCAACTTTTGTTGAACCCATCTGCCCTTTCACAGTAAATTATATCTCATCTACAAATGGACAGGTTTCTATTTGTGAGCCATTTTATGTAGGTAGTTACAGATATATTTTATTTAATCTTGAAACCCCACTTGATTTTTCAGTTTTTTGTGTACATTTCAGTTGTTTCAAAGAGCTTCTAAATGTTATGTTTTTGCAGGCCTCAGACATCCAGGCAAGGACAGTAGTACTTACCTGGTCACCTCCTTCCAGCCTCATTAATGGTGAAACTGATGAGACTACTGTACCAGAGGTCTATGGTTATGAAATTCTGGTCTCAAGTACTGGAAAAGATGGGAAATATAAAAGTGTATATGCGTAGGTATTTGTTATGTTTTACTCCTTCCCGTTATATAAGTTAATAAAGAGTTTAATACTGATTTTGTGCTATTTTCCTTTTCATGCTTTTGTTTTGCATCTATAAATTGACCGGTGATAGTAATTTCAATGTAAATAGTCCAAATGTCAGCTGGTTCACATTTCTGTCTACACTCCCTTGGACTAATCACTTTCATTAGCCACATTCAACTTTTTTATTTTTCAGTAGGCTTCCTAATAGTCATAAATTTAAATAAAGACATAAATTTAAATTGCATCATGTAGAAGCTAGGACCAGAAATGGAGAACTCTTATATTGTGAACTCATGCAGTGTGGTATTGCTCCTTTAAGGAGTTGGACTTAATTCTTGTATGTACAAGCTCATGTCCTATTGTAAAATGAATTTAGTACCATTGTTCTTCATTTGTGTATTGGTATGTTAATAATAATATTTTGAAAACATCATAGTCCTCTTTTCTTGGTTAAAAAGTGCATTATATACCAAGAAGCCTTAGAAAGTGTCAGTGGCTAAAATTATGACATTCATGACTGACGGTTGTAAAGTATTTTTCTGTTCTTATCCATATAGGAATTGCTTATTCTGATGAAAAAGAGTAAAGTCAATTACTAGGTATAATTTCAGCCCCAGGAAGATTGTAAAAGAGGTGGTTAGCCATTTGAATGATCATAATTAACATAGAACACTGGATACATCAGACTTCCTGGTGCCTTTTTTCAAAAAAAATAGCTAGTATGGGGAAGAAAGGAAAGTGAAACTGCTCCAGTGACTGTCATCTAGTAACAGGTTATAAAAATACCGCATCTCCTTTTCTCTATTGAGACTTCCTTGTGTTTATTCTATTTCTTTTTCTTAAAAGAAGCAAACCTACCTAACGGGTAAACCAGGGAATGAAGTCCATCAAAATAAAGGTTTCTTTTTGTGTTAAATGGCTGTTGTAGTTCGATATGGCTGCTTCCTAAAAAGAAGGATTTATCTCCATTTGCAGCCTGACCAGAGAGCCACAAGAGGAACATTAATCAACCTTAGTCACCTGGTTTACTGTACACCAATTAAGGTCTCTCTCTGAGGCTGTTGCTACAATTGCTCAGTTCATTAAGGTGTACTTGCATCAATGAGATATGTTTTCTTTCTCATAATATTCACTGGTTTTGATTTGAGAAACAGGATAGCTGGAAGGCAAGTAGGAGTGGGATAGAAGGTAAGAGGAAGAAGTCCATAAAGTAGAGAGGAGAGGAACTTGGCTGAAGGAAATGGAACAGAGAACAAGGGTTTCAAAAAAAAAGAGAAAACAGGCTGTTTTGTTGACTACTTACCCAAATAATAGTAGTATCAAATGATTATTTAAGAAAATGTATGCTGTTATATTTGAAAATGTAATAGTGGCCATGGGAAATACTTTACTTTAAATTATGATTCACTTTTTTTCTTACCTAGTCATTAAACATTTTTTTTTAAAGTTCTATGTTCTATTTTAAATAAAATTCAGTAGTGGCAGACTCCTTGTAAAAATTTGGTAATTTTGATTTCAGTAGTACATATGTTATTTGGTGTTTTCAGTATATGCAAATGGATTTTAAAATAATTAAAAATAGTTGCATTTCTCCAATAAACTATCTTCCCTAATTCTACCAAAAAAGAAAAAATCTGGCTTACACAACTGATTTGTTTAGCACACCTTTTTGTTTTAAAGTGGTATACAGGAACATACTTAAGTCTGTCACATATCCTAATTACACAAATTCCATATATTAGTACAATCTGGATGTGGTTCCAGTTGGTAAAGTAAGAAGCAGTGTAATTTTATAAAGTAACCACAACTGTAGTGTATATAATACATATTCTCTGGAAATGCTTTGTTTATCAGACAATGAAATGTTACCTTTTTTTCCCCCAGAGGAGAAGAAACAAGTGTCACTTTAAATGATCTCAAACCAGCTACAGATTACCATGCAAAGTAAGAAATTCCTATATGTTGCTTTTATATAATATAGCAAAGAGATTGTTTGTTTTTAATGATTTCTTTAAAAGTCTAGGATATAATTTAAATATTAATTTCGGATTGAAAACATGCATTTTGTGGACTTTTATTTTTCTTTTGGTATAAATATCAGTACTTTCCCCAAAAAACAAAAACATTTAACTCAAATGTTATATTGAAGGGTTAATCACCCTGTTTGTAGGATATAGGAATTAGAACGAATATACAGATAATGTGTATAATATGTCTATAGGATCTAATTTAGCGCTGGAAAATTATTCCAGCTTTAGAAATTTTTATTAAACAGAATCATAAATAATATTTGGTTCCTACTTCTGTATTTTTACTCTATCCTATTTTGTTAGAGTTTGTCATATTAAAACTCTTAGAATTTCATAACATTTAATTGGGGTAACTTAGAAACTACTGTTTTACTCTGCACAGTTCTTCTGTTATAATTTACTGAAATTATTCTTAGACTCTAGGGCCTCCCAGCTGTAACTCAGTGTAATAATTTAGTCAGTCACCTCTGTTTATAAAAAGAACACTTGTAGTTGGGATTATTCCTGTTGAACTATTAAATTAAGTCTTCAGTTATACAGCCTATGAATGAACCCAAAGTATTGTCCAACTTAATGCTTTTCAAACTGTGGATTGCAACTATTATTGAATCATGAAATTAATTTTGTGAGTTATATTCAGAATTTTTTAATTAAGTATAATCAAAAGGAGTAAAAAGTATCAGTATATTATCCTACTTAAGGATAGTGTTTCAGGATACTTTTGTTGTGTGTATGTGTGTGTGTGTGTATAAATACATATCACAGAAACACAGTCACAGTTTAAAATGAATTACTTACTTTGGGCAGTCAGAAAAAGATGATAGCCGAGGGGGGCGGACAGCTCAGTGGTAGAGCGCATGCCTAGCATGCACGAGGTCCTGGGTTCAATCGCCAATACCTCCATTAAATAAAAAAATAAACCGAATTACTGTCCCCCGCAAGAAAAAAGGAAAAGAAGACAAAAATTTTAAAAAGAAAAGAACAAGATGAAAGCCACTGGTCTGTTCTATTTTTCTTTTTTTTTTTAAGGGTCACCCTTTATTTCTGATATGCATATTTTCTCAATAGAACATTATAGGGCACCTTACTGACTTGCAGGTACTTAAAGGTAACACTGTAGAACGGTAGGATATAGTGATTCTGCAGGATAAATGTTTATTTTTTATCACCTTAGAGTTCAGGCAGAATACAATTCTATAAAGGGAACTCCTTCAGAAGCTGAAACCTTTACTACCTTGAGCTGTGAGCCTGACATACCTAATCCTCCAAGGATAGCCAATCGGACCAAAAATTCACTCACTTTGCAGTGGAAGGTAAGAATATTCTCTGTGGAGTATTTCCAACTGGATATTTGTTTCCTTTTTTTTTTTTTTTCCTTGTAGTATTAAACTTCAGTTGTTTTTGGAGTCAAAAGAGGTTTAACCTAATCTGTTCTTGTTCTTTACATATAGTAAATAGGCATTTGCTTCTTATACCTTAAAATAACACTCTGTCAGTTTTTCCATGTTTTATGTAAATATAGGAGAAAAGATTGATTTATAATTAGCAGTCTTTATACTGAATATGTGATAACACAGCAGGTCACAACAGTAATTCTCAAGCTCATTACTGCTTTCTCTAGTATTTTATAATGACACCTTTATATCCTGAGTTTTATCCTAAAATGAAATTAATAATAACTGGACTCGTAGTTCTAAAAACATTAATATGATGCCTTAAAGGAGGAATAAAATTATTTTTAATAGAATAATGTATTTTGTAATATATAGATATTTGGGCCCAGCTACACAGGAAGATGTAATGAACTGGATAGACACTAGACAGAACTGGTAATTCAAATACCACAAAAATCATTGTCATTGGTGATATGATTTTCTGAAATGATACATAGGTATTGGTAAATTTCTGAACCAAATTAAGTACAGTCTTTCCCTTGCACAGTAGTTGCATTTGAGGGAATATAGTAACTGTTAAAATTATACCAAAAATACCTTGTAAAATAGAATTAGGTTCTAGACTGTAATAATTATAAACATATATTTCACCTATGTGGACGTCCAGGAGCACATTCAAAAGTCATAGAGGAAAAGAACAATTCTTTATTGCACTGAAATAAAAGTGAAATTCTTTAGTTCTAGAGTGATTAAATACTGGAATAAAATGACAAAAAGACTGAAATTGTTGCCACTGAAGATTAACAGGTTGATGAATTAGCAATCTTGGGCAGCTGACACATGGAGTCTAGAAGCAGAGATCCAGACTGTATGCCTTCTTGGAGTTCCTTTCAGCATCCTAGTTCTTTCTCTTTGGTTGTATTATGCAATATTACTTTCAGATTGTAAACTGAGTTTTAATGAAAATGACAGTATCAACCTGAGGAGCTTAAAGCTGTAAGACCTTTTGATAAAAGGCAAAGAGATTTTTTTAAAAAGGATTATAAAAGTTAAGATAGTTCTTAATAAAAGAGATTGTTCAGTGTTCAGAAAAATTTGAGTAGCCTCTTGCTTTGTTTTCTTGCTTTCAAAGGATTATGGGAGGATACATGTATTTCTGTATTCCCTGTGCAGATTTTTCCAGGGCTAAATCCCAGAGAATATGTGTGACACAATAGATGCCTTAGATTAGATCATCACAATGTCTTTTATAAAGGTACTAATTTGTACTCATTTTGTTTGTTTTTTGGTGTTTGTTTTAGGCACCTAGTGACAATGGTTCTAAAATCCAAAGCTTTATTTTAGAGTGGGATGAGGTAAGTAAATTTAAACTTTTTAAGTTAGGCTAAAAATGTATGCATATCATCAGGCAGAAATAACGTTTTTGTTTAATAGTTTTTTTCCTCTTTAAAAACAATATGAATGGTTTTCTGTGGTATGTGTCGATTGATTGTGTTCTTAGAAAACATTACTGACTGAACCTCCCTGTGTTTTTTTCAGCTAAACCACCATCAGAGCTGTCACTTGGTTAATTACCTTAATTAATTAGTTTTTATTTTGAGGGGGGGGAGGTACTTTTTTTTTTTATTTCTTTTTACTTACTTACTTACTTTTAACGGAGGTGCTGAGGTTTGAACCTAGGACCTTATGCACGCTAGGCATGCACTCTACCACTGAGCTATACCCTCCTCTTTTAACTGGTTAATTACCTTGATGAAGGAATATTTTCTTTCACATCAGCTTTAAAGGCAAGGATGTTCATATCCTGTGGCTGCTTTAACAAATTAACCACAAACTGGATGGCTTAAAACAACTCTTTTATTCTCCTATAGTTCTAGAAGCCAGAAATCCAAAATGGCTTTCACTGGGCCAAAATCATGATGTCACCACAGCCCTGATTCCATTTCCTAGAGGAGTATCCATTTCCTTGCCTTTCCAGCTTCTGGAGGCTCTCCTCATTTTTTGGTTCATGGTGGCATCAGATTGCCTTTTCTCCCCCTGCTGCGCATCGCCTTTTTCCCCTTCTGTTTTCAAGTCCTTCTCTACCTCCCTCTAAAAAGGCAATTTGTAATTCCATTTAGGACCCACCCAAATAATCAAGGATAATCTCTCCATCTCAAGAGCCTTAGTTTAACCATTTTGACAAATTATGGAAGGTATTTGATAAACTTTATCACCCATCTCAGTTAAAACTCAAAACAAATTAGAAATAGAAAGGTAATTCCTTATATGATAGTTTTATATTAAGTGAAGTACCATCACTAAATAATGTCATTTCTAGTCAAAGCAAAAACAAGTCAAAGTTGCCAGTTACATCCACCTTTATATGACATTATTCAGGAATAATGGTTAATTAAATATGGTTAATACAGTATGATTTGGAATCAGAACAAAAGGTGGAGCTGTGGTGGATGGGTTGGTGGGCAAAATTATTATTATTTAAAAATGATATGATTTTCTGTTTAGAAAACCCAATAGAACCAACTATAAGCACTATTAAAACTAGCAAGAGAGTTCAATAAAGCAACCAGATACAGACTAAAGATTTTCTCTGAAGCAGAGGTCACCCTAACTGCCCTTTACCTCTACCAATACAATAAACAGAAATGGGTAGAAAATGAAAAACTTGTCCGTTTTCTGTAGCACTTTAAATTTCTAAAACTCTTTAATTGTCCTGAACTACAGACTTTTCTCTCTCCCATCTTAATGCCTGTAATTTGGGTTTTTCCTTTCTGTTTATACTCTTTCTGTGTTAAATCTAAGTGGTAGTAGCTTTTTATTAAAATCTTTATTATAAGAAGCTTAGCAGCTATCTAGGTGGTTTAGGGGTGGATAAGGGACCTTTTCTTAAAACTGTTGCATAGAACTTTTCGTAGGTTGAGGAATGCTGCCAGTTATGCATATCAGAGATAACTGTATTTCCATCACTACCAGTTCCCCCATAGAGACTGTGGGGTCCATACCAGGAAAGAGTTTCTTTTACTAAAAGCCAGAGAGGTTTAGCGTCAGCTGTAAAAAAGCGTGCTTAGTTCAAGAAGCTATACAGAGATGCCTACCCTTCAGTTTTTGAATTCTGCATTAATGAACACTGAGTATCATATAAAAGATATGTTCTCAACTTTCTCTTGAGATTCATGACATGCATATAAAATAAAGATAACTTTTTAATGTATACTAGGCTAACATGTTACTATCAAGTACGAATTAATGTGGATTCCTCTTTTTACAATAATTATGTAATATGTAATAACCAGCTATTTCTTTTAGGGAAAAGGAAATGGAGAATTTTGTCAGTGTTATATGGGCTTACAGAAGCAATTTAAAATTACTAAACTGTCACCAGCAATGGGTTGTAAATTTAGACTGTCAGCCAAAAATGACTATGGTACAAGGTAAGACACATTTTAATGTAGATATTTTAGACTATTTATATACATTTATTTGTATAAATTATTCACAGTCCAAATTACCCATTAAAATTTTCCTTAATTATCACTTTGTTGATATAGTTAAGATGTGTTACTAGCCTAGCAGAAGCTATAAGAAAATTTGTTAATTATATAAACTGAAGTTTTAAAAGAATGTTAATTTGGTTTTTTAGATATCTGACCTGGTTACCATAAAGATATTATCAAATACAAGATTTATTATTTGGATTATAATTAGTTGTAATTTTCCCAAAATATGTCATTTCTCAAAAAATGTCTTTGGCTATAAAAAATTTTTTTTTTTCATTCCTTCTTAAAAACCATTTGTTTCAACAGTGGTTTTAGTGAAGAAGTCTTATATTACACCTCAGGCTGTGCCCCTTCTATGCCAGCAAGTCCTATATTAACTAAAGCAGGGGTTACTTGGTTATCCTTACAATGGAGTAAACCCTCAGGAACACCATCAGATGAAGGAATTTCTTACATTTTAGAGATGGAGGAAGAAACTTCAGTAAGTATGAATATGTATTTTAAATAGGGTATTTAAAACATATTTCAGTGTGATATTAGTCCTAACATAGTTAAATATTGTCACAATAGTTAAATCCTTCTCCAAATCCTTTGAAACCTTGGTTGGTTGTTGTTTGAAACCTTGGTTGGTTATTGTTTGGGAAGGACTGGAAGTGAGGGAGACCTCAGTCTTCTGTTTTCTTGATACATTGGACGGGTTTTGTTTTTTATGTGTGTTTGAATGCATTTTGAAGCTGGGAACAACACAGACTACATTTTAAATATGTATGCTTTGGGAAAAGTTAAGAAAGGGGAGGATCACCACAGCCTTAGACTAAGCAGCTGTAAAAGATAAGAAAAAAGCATGTCTGTCTCCTCCAGCTGTGTTCATACACTGCTTCCCCAAGTGCCACGGAAAACTTGAAGAGCGTCACATGAAACTATATATAGTTCAGCCTGAATCTAGTTACCAGTGGCTCATCTCTTATGAGCTAAACCTAAGCTAAACAAGAGTTAGGCTGTTTCTGTTAGTTATATATAGTTACATATAGTTCCATAGCTTTTCAGAGTTACTTTGAAGCAATATGAGTCAAAAATAGCATGGTCCTTCCTAGGTATATACGCAGGAGAATTGAAAGCACATTTGTACAAAAATTTGTACGTGAATATTCGTAGCAGCATTATTCACAATAAGCAAAAAGCAGGAAAACTGAAATGGCCATCAATTGATGAATGGATAAACAGAATGTAATATATCCATTCAGTAGAATATCGTTCAGCCATACAAAGGAATGGAGTACTTACCTATGCCACAACATAAAGGAGTCTTAAGGACATTGTGCTAAATAAACGAACCCAGTCACAAAGACCACATATTGTGTGATACCATTTACATGGATATAGGCAAATCCATAGAGACAGAGAGTGTATTAGTGTATGAGAGAAGAGAGGAAGCGACTACTAACCAAAAACAAAGTACAGGCTCTATTCTGGAAGTAGGAATTAAATGATAGTCGCACAAGCTTGTAAATATACTAAAACCTGTTGAATTTTATACTTTAAAACGGGAATTTTATGGTTTGTGAATTATGTCTGTTTTTAAAATTTTTAAAATAACATTGGGAAAGTAGTGAAGCATTGTCCCTGGAGCTATAAATAATAGTGCTAAACCTAAGTGACATCCCTACCTGCCAGCACAACCGACCATTTATCTATTCACCTAAACACAACTGTGTGTTCAAGGAAAGTTAAATATGTTAAATAGTTTCTGTATAGCTCTTGCAACATCTGTCTGGAAAATTCCCGTTCTAGGGATAAGCTTACTGATGGTGGAGTTACCATTGGCTCCGACTTACCCTCAACACGAAGATCTTCTCTTGGCTACTGTACTTACTAAGAATAAGTAGTCTTCATCCTCCTACAAATGTTCAGTAGCATTTCTGGATCCATCTACTCAAGGTAGAAGTATCAAGGTGCAGAATACACTCAGCCAAGCATCAACTACATTGTACACAGTAGAAGATGAAGAGGACCTGGGTCTTTTCACATATTCCTTATTCCTCATATTTCTGCTGTCAGACATCTAATGAAGACTTATTTTCCCTTTCCAGGGATATGGTTTTAAACCTAAATATGATGGAGAAGACCTTGCTTACACAGTGAAAAATCTCAGACGTAGTACAAAATACAAATTTAAGGTAAGCTTTGAAAGCCCTTGAAAGATTTGTTTGTTGTTCTTATTGTTCCTGTTTTAAAGCCAAGCACATGCCTCACTCACTTGGTTTCAAATCTTAAATTTTGGCCTTTCTAATGAGCTTTATTGTTTTACTTCTTACTATATGATAATGTTTCTCAAAACTTTATGTACCTAAATTCAAAACAATCTTAATGTTTTATAGAACTCTTGCAAAATCATCTTTTAAAATGTAGATGTTATTGAACATAGTCAGAATATGCTTTTTTTGGTAGGTATATCAGAAAATAGTAATGATATTTAAATGCTCTGTCAAGGGATATACAATTTCAGTTGTCCAATTACTGGTAGTCATTTGATGAAGGTGATATCTAGCATGTTTCTTCACTGTAAAGTTGTTTGTTTTCCCTTGGTAATAAGTATTTTGTAAACTTCTTCCTCATCAAATTTTCACCCACTGGTTTAAACACCCATTGATAATTCTTGCCCGAATCAGTTATTACTATGATTAATGGTTGCCAAGTGGTGATTTTTTTAATTGTATCATTCCTTCTACATTTATTAGTTGGCATTATACTATAAGGAAAAGCTTTCTCTTCTCATTTATATCAGTATGAACTCATGGACTCCTGTTTACTGAGTGGGTTATATTTTGTTGCTGTGGTTATCAATTATGAGGCTCAGATGTCTCAGATTTAGGAGCCCTGTCAAGCTGGCTTCTGAATCCTTCTGACATCCCCTGCCCCAGTCATTCTTAGAGCCTGCCCTTTCTGGCACATGATACTCCATTCTCATCTTGTGCTTTCCCTTCTTCAACCTTGGAATTGGCCTTTTCTCAAAGCACTTGGGTCCTTAAGGTGGACGGTGATATTTAGAAGTCAAGATCTGGATTGTAAGTATACTTAATGCTATAATGGTGCTATTCTTGGGCATCCTCTCAGTAGACAAAGCTAAGAGTTAGACGTGTGTATGTATGTTTTATGTGCGTGTATACACACATGCAGTTTACATGCACAACACATTTATATTCTTATTCCTATATATATATATATATTTTTTAAATCATGGGTTCATACCAAATACCTCCATTTTAATCCAATGTCACAGGTTAATTCTAATTTTTTCCCTTTCCTTATTTCTATGTCCCTTCATCATCAGTGAGAAACTTTGCCCTATTTATGTTCAAAATACTTATTGGGTGAAACTCCTCCTTCCCTCATATCCTTCCCTAAAGTCCTATTCAGGGTACTTAAGTTCCTACTAGGAAATGCTGCTGCCTCTGTTCAACCCACCCCCATCCCTCAGCACACATACTTGCCTCATATAGCTTTCCTGTTGGCCTTTGGATTGAATTATTTCAGGAGAAAAGTGGGGATACTCTGTGTATCATTCTTCCTCACCTGAAGCAGTAGAAAGCTTGAAAAGTCTTCTATGGAGATTGCTGAAATTCTGTATCTTTCCTAGTATAGCATCCGTTCTAGGATATATTTTAGCTCTGACTTGCTTGGTGATACTGCTGTTTCTTGGCAAATGGTGTGTGAATTAGTTAATATCCCAGGTAATATAAGCCAGCCTACATTTTTCTGCAGAGGTTTTTCCAAAAATATAACAGGATGCCTATTAGTTGATTAAATTCAACATACGAATTTCCCTACCAGTGCTTGTTTGTCAGCTTCTTCCAAATAAATGATCAAAGCCACTGTAAATTGTTTTCACCATTAAAAAGCAAAGATAAATTTTATTACTCCTCAAGAACCTAATAATGAAAATTTTTATGATAATGGAAAACTTGATTATGCAGTACATAATCGTCATATGTGTTATGGTTTGTATATTAGCGTCATTTTTAAAACTGATAACACTGGGTCATTTCAATTTTCTAATACAACTTTTATATTGACCAGATTTATAAAATACCTAAGAAGTATGTAGGTACATTTATTCCAGTTTTCCTCTTATGATGTTGAATTGCATTTTCGCTTCAGTAGTTATCATACCAGCAGGTCTTTTAAGGGAAAGTTGTTCAGGTCTTTATAGTTTGGTAAGTTTATTCAAATTCTTAGAATTCTACTGTGTAACACCATGGTGTTATCGCCACATACAAACAAAAATGTATACACACCAATAGGAGTTAGATTCCTTGCTGATTCACTTTTTTTAAAAAATCACAAATTTCTATTTAAAATTCCCACTGTGGCAGTCACTCTCAATGCAGGGTATAAAATTAGAATCTCCAAGGAGACAATAATAGGCTTTTCCAAAAAAGCACCCCCAAGTAACTAGAGAGGAAGTGGGAAACAATATGTCCCTAAACTACCTCTTAACAAATCACTGGATTATAGGATTATAAGAAGGGATTATATACTGGTTTATTAAATAACAAATTAAAATAGTGAGAAGATCTAGAGCAGTAGTTTTTAACGTGTGATCACCAGACCATGCTATCAGCATCACCTGGAAACTTAGAAATGTAAATCCTCTGCCCCCGCCCCCAGATCTACAGAATCAGAAATTCTGGGGGTAAAGCCTAGCAATCTGTATCTCAGCAGGCCTTCCAGGTCATTCTGATGCTTGCTGAAATGTGAGAACTGATCTAGAGGAGGGGAAAAAATATTAGGAAATAGAAAATGATGACTGTGAAGTTTTCTAGAAGTTCAGACATTTATTTTGGGGTTTGGGGGGTTGTATATATATATATATTTTATTGAAGTTGTGTCTATTTCTGGTGTACAGCATAATGCTTCAGTCATACGTGAACATACATATATTCGTTTTCACATTCCTTTTCTCCGTAAGTTACTACAAGATACTGAATATAGTTCCCTGTGCTATACATATGAACTGGTTGTCTATTTTATATATATTAGTATCTACAAATCTCAAACTCCCGATTTATCCCATCCCACCCCCTTCCCCACCTGGTAACCATATGTTTGTTTTCTCTGTCAGATATTTATTTTGAATCTGCCATGTACTGAATGCCAGGTGAGGTGGGGTTGAATCATAAAATCCTGTTTCCATGTCTTAAGTTTTTCTTTTCTAGCTTGACATTGCAGTCTCCTCTTTCAAGCAAATATATATAATAAAATCTTAACACTCTATAAAGAATTCTTAGAATACTAAGCAAAAGCAATAAAAATATTATAATGCAGAAAGTACTGACTTAAATAGTATATTGTTGTTTGTAAAGAAACAATTAAGGTGTGATTTAACATAAAATTTTAATATGACCAAGTTTACCAAATGCCAGAGTTCTAGGCTCTACACTAAGAACAATTCTAGCACACTCAGAATACTGAAACAATGAAAAACTTTAGAGGACAAAAGAAAAATGAAAATAAAACTTTAAAGCATAAGAAAGCAATCAGAATTCTTAAAATCATTTAAAAATTCAGAGGGATAAACAAGCAAACAATGCTAATTCTACCAGATGGGCCACTTGGAACATGGGCTAGGACCTAATGTCCAAATTTTTAATAAAAGAATTGAAGGCTTCAGAGACCAAAGGCCAGTCACTATGACTCTGGGGCAATAGAAAGCTGATGCCTTACTTCTTGGAAATATACTTTCTTGAAAAATAGGTTTTCAAGTAGCAGGGATTCTTAAAGTCAAGGTCTGAGTACCTTGAGCTCTTAGATACCTTTACTTTAGCTTGTTACTTGTTTTTGAGGCCTTTTGAAAGGTGGTAAAAAATCAAAACAGTAGCTGGATCCATCAACTTCTGTTATCGTCCATCCTTGAAATTTACACATATGTCAGCATCTCTGACAGCACATAGTCATGTTCCCTCTTCCTTCTCATCTTGTCTGATGTCATTTTATGACTTCTTCCTTTCTCCTCTGCCCTATCTAGGTGTGCCCAAGTTTAGTCCTTAGTTCTTCTTGGTATCTCTCTCTCTCCCTTATACCAGCTGTCATTTCTGTCCTGAAGAGTACTAAATCTCCAAACCTGTTCTTTTTATCACTTTCAGGCTATTCTCTTACCTTCTAATCCAAGTCTATTTTATACCTAGATTAATCTTTCTGAAACAGCTTCTCCCCCAAAGAACAATTTTCTTAATTTGATATAAGGTTCTTTATATTCTGACCTATTCAGTTTTTAAATGTACTGCCTTTCACTTCTTACTTGAACTGGCTGCCTCACCAGATTGAATACTTATCCTTCCCTGAGCAGAGCTATTTATTATTCCCTTCTGCTCTTGTACCCAGAGCTTTCTTTTCTCTCTTACCCAAGCTTCCTTTTTTCACTGCTCTTGTCTGAAGACCCCATTATCACTTTAATTTGCCTTTTCAAAGCCTTCCTGGACAATTTTAGGCCAGATTAATCTTTCTTCTGTTGCCTGATTCTTTTGATTTGTGTATTGCCTGTCTGCATAGAATCTGCATAAAAATTCTAAACTCTTTGAAGGTAAGAAGTGCACCACGCTCTGTGGTGGGCACTAAATGAATGCTTTGATTATTTGTAAAATTTGGGGGGAAATAATGGTTTTATACCTTTAAAACTTTAATGGCTAACTCAAGTAAAAGGAGGCAATGCTGAAATAGATAGCCTGAAACACATAATTAGTGGATCTTTATGGTATTTAGGGAGTCTGCACTTACTTTAAAAGCTACTCTAGAGGAGAAGGGATGGGGAGGGACAATAGGGGTAGGGGACGAAGAGGTACAAACTATTAGGTATAAAATAAGCTACAAAGATGTATTGTACAATATGGGGAATATAGCAAATATTTTATAATAACTATAAATGGAGTATAATCTTTAAAAATTGTGAATCCTATATTGTACACCTGCAATATACCATATTATACATCAGCTTTACTTTAGTTTTTAAAAAAAAAGCTTCAGCTTGTTAGGAGGTTTAAGTAGACACTGTACCATGTTGAGAAATGTTTTGATTCCCTTTGTAGTCTAACTCATAAAGCAGCAGAGTGAGAAAACATCCTGAAAATCTGTCTGAATATGTGGGAGGACTGAGGAAGCCTGAGCAAACTGAACAGTTGGATTTGAGTTTTCATGAGTTGCATGAGTTATTTGGGGTAATAGATTTATTTAGATCCTATTTAGATTTAGTGTCATGTCATGTGATGGAGATCCCCATCTGTGGCTCATTCATTCAACCAATAATTGAGCATCTGTTCTATACAATAAGAATTCGGTAGTGATTAAAATAGTTAATACTGTAGTGGAAGAAATAGACAATAAACAAGCAAACAGATATTAGTGATAAGTGCTATGCAGGTTAACTAAAATATGGTAAGTTGACAGAATGACTGGGTAGTCAAGGAAGTCTTCTTGGAAATGACATTTAAACAGATCTGAATAAAAGAAGGAGGTAGCATGTCACGATCAAAAAGAACATTCCAGGCAGGGGAAATAACTGCTAATGTAAAAGACCCAAAAGTGAAATCACATAGGGCTTTGTAGGCCATGATGAGGAATTTAGATTTTATTCTGGGTGAGATGAGAAGCCTTGGAGGGTTCCAAGCTGAGAATTGATAAAGTCCCTGTGGCCACCATGTAGAGAATAGATGGGACTGAGGAAATCAGTGGAAGCTGGGAAACTAATTAGTAGTATTACGGTAATTCAGTAAAGATACGATAAAGGAGACTTTGATTAAGATGGTGGTAGTAGTAAAAAACAGAGAAGTGAAGGTAGAGTTGACAGGATTTGATATATATGTTTAGAGAAAGGATCAAGGATCCTTCTAGATTTTTGACTTGAGTAACTAGGTGGGTGGTAGTAGTGCTTTTCATTGATGGGGAAGAACAGACGGAGCAATCAGAGTAAGAGAAGAGTATATCAAGTTAATATTGGACTTGAGCTTTAAGTTCAGTAGAAGAGATAGGTAAACATACAAATATTAAATTTCTAAAGTCAAATATAATACTTGTATATAAAATCATATGTCTCTTGCTGTACAACTTAATAGCTTGAAAAAAACAAACAAGCACTTATTACCTCAACAGTTTCTATAGGTCAGGAATTCAGGACCAGCTTGACTGGGCGGTTCTGATGCAGGTTTCTATGAGGTTGCAATCAAGATGTCATCTGGAGCTACAGTCACCTGAAGGCTCGACTGGCTGGAGGATGTGCTTCCAAGTTCAATCAAGTGGTTGTTGCCAGGAGCCCTCAGTTCCTTGCTGTCTCTTGGTCAGAGGTTCAGTTCCTCACCACATGGGTTTCTCAATAGGGAATCTACACACACCATCATTCTGCTGCATTTTGTTTGTTAGAAGCAAGTCATTACGTACAATTCAAAAGGAAGATGAATTAACCTTTCTTTATCTTTTGAAGAGAGGAAATTCAGAGAATTTGTGGACTTTTTTTTAAGCCCCTGAAGAATTTTAAAAGAATAAGTAAAGCAAATCTAAAGCCCATCAAGTGTCACCAGATTATAGTTTGTTCTTGTGCTGACTCTTGTTTAGTATCAAAATGTTAGACTTGTACTTGTCTTCCCAGGGCTGACTCTAAAAGGGGATCATAACTCAATTTTCTTCATATATACTGAGTCCCTTTTAAAGACAAACAATTCTCACATTTGATTGAGCCTGTTTGTTTCTCATCACTTTGTTCATTAAGCCAATATCATTAGGTTTCAAACGTTAATTATTTTGTTTTCTTTGTGTTCTCATCACAGGTTATTGCTTACAACTCTGAAGGTAAAAGTAATCCAAGTGAAGTAGTAGAATTTACTACATGCCCTGATAAACCGGGAGTACCTATAAAGCCCTCAGTTAAAGGAAAGATACATTCACATAGTTTTAAAATAACTTGGGGTAAGATATTATGCATATTTGTACATCATTACTTTTATATTTAATTTAAAAGATTTGAATATCTAGATAATTTTTAAGATATTTGAGTAAATTTGTTAGCTCAAGTAAGTTCAATAAGAAATGTAAGACTCATTCATTGTTTGAGGATCTTTTTTGTGGAAAGCGTTGTACTCACACATGCTAAACTCAGATTTGATGCAGGAAGAACTTGGGGTCTACTGTAGAACTATGAACAGGGGCAGCAGTGTGTGAAACGAAAGGTTACTGAACTTGCAGCTAAAGTCTCCTGGGTCATCCGGGCTTTCACAAGAGACCAAAATTACTTACTCATTTAAAATATTTATTGAGCATCTATCTGTTTATGTATTACCTTATGCAAAAACGAGAGTGTAAATGAGATGCTGGAATTAATTTTTAAGAATTATTGCAGGTGATTCTTTTTTTTTTAAATCAATCCTAGGTTTGATACTCTGTTTATTATGAGTTTATGTCATTTTTTAATTGTACTTTGCCTAATACCACTTTTGCTTCTTTGGATAGACCCACCAAAAGACAGTGGAGGGGCAGCCATCAATAAATATGTGGTAGAGATGGCAGAAGGTTCTAATGGTAAGAATAACTATTAAAAATTGATAGATTTGTACCAGTCATTCTACCTGTCCTCTTCATTATTTTAAATTTTATATGATCTCTTTTCTTTCCTCTTGTTTTTTCCTTTGTTTGTAGCAGTTAAGATTTTGCCTCTTATGACCCACTTTAAGTTGTAATCTTCAGAAATAACAGTGACTCAAATGTAAGACTGCTGTACACCTATATTATATTACATTTACGTTTTCTTATTTTTTTCTCATTTGTTTTCATTGCTCGGTTTCCAGCATATCTTAAGTCTTCTGAAGGTTAGTTTATTCAGTTAGATTTATACCCAGATGTATCAGAGGAAAATTATCTTCTAAAATTTCTATTATACTAGTTTTAGTAATAAATTCTATGCCTTATTCTTGAGTCACACAAGTAACAATCTTTATTTCTATCAAATGACCTATTTCCTTGCATAAAATAAGGATGTTTTTAATTAAGACTAAACTTCCTATGGTATTGGTTCTTTCTACTTTTTGTGTGCTATAATGTTATTACTGGACAGTAAACACACTTAATTAAAAGCAAATTATCTATCTGAGCCACAGTCTGTACAGAGTTACAGAGATACTTCACTTCAACCAAGCCACGCAAATTTGTCTAGGAAGCTGCACATGAAAAGAAAATTAGATCATTTCCAGGAAACTCAAAACAAGCTTAAGTTGTTTCTAACAAATTATGTAAACACTTACTTAGTAAATCTATGATACCTGCCGTGTCCATGATACCAAAATGTTAAACATTACCTTGCAGCTGATTGAACATAATTCTTTACCTTACAGGAAACAAATGGGATATGATATACAGTGGAGCTACTAGGGAATATCTTTGTGATCGACTGAATCCAGGCTGTTTCTATCGTTTTCGAGTTTACTGCATCAGTGATGGAGGACAGAGTGCGGTAATGTAGTTTTTTTTTCCCAAGTTTGGTCAAATGAGATGAGATCACCAGGTACCACTTCAAATATTGAAATGTATCCACAAATTATAAAAAGTCATTTCTGTTAACCCAGGTGGTTAAATTTATAGTTACAGTATATTCTAACATAGTACTTAGCTTATAGTCAGAATTCAGCGAATAGCTATTATCTGGTTGCTATTTAGCTTTGGAGAAACAAATACACGAAAACACTGCAGAAAATTTTATAAAGATAAATTTTAGGATGATGCTTAATAACCCTACCTAACAGAAATAGAAACAAAATAACTGTTGACTGATTTACTGCACCATAAATTATGTGTATTAGGACAAACCATAAAATACCACTTACTATTTTAACACAAATTCTAATATCCACTTATTTCAGAAACATTTGGCAATTATTTTGCTTATTAGAATAGACCCAGAAACTAAAATAGACTTAAATGTGCCATTGATTATATAAGACATTTGTAATGTTATAGAGAAGTATGTTTTATTAGAAGTGATTTTTTTTAAATGAATTCAACCAGAATGTTTCTTGGATCACTCATAATTGTTACTATTTTTCAAATGGGATTTAATGCAATAGAAGTAATTTTTTAATGAATTATAAGCATTTTGTTGAAAATGGGAGTACTGTGAAACTGTTACATGTCCTGCCCCACAGACTTTTAATCCAATTGCTTCATTTTCTCTAATAAAAAATCTTTCTAGATTAAAACAAAACCCTCCCCCTTCCCACCAAAAAAAAAAACTGTCTAATACAGCATTATAGCATATATGAATACCTTTCTGAATAAGATGATGACCAAATACTTTGTTTATGTTTAGAAAAAATGTTAAGTATAAACTTTAATTACGGTGCAAGTAAGGAATATGGCACTGAGTTGTGTCAGTGTTTTTAAGAGAATGTCTTTTAAAGTAAAAGATTTTTTTAAAATAGCGTAGAAACTAAAAGTCATACCAAATACCTGGAATGGCAAATATTTGGAAAAATGTACCTGGTTTTTAAATTACTTTTCAGGTGAAAGGAAGAAGGAAAGATTTTTTAAATAAATAAGTAAATAAGTATTCAGTAGTCAAGTAGCCAAAATAGTCTAAACCTGAAAACACAGCAAATAGCATTTACAGAATGTTAAAACATCCTTCTCTAGAAGGTATTTGTAGATTCATTTGGACATGACCAAAAGTAATGTCAATTCGGTTATGTTGGAGGATTTGTATTTTAAATTATGGAAAGAAGGAAAAGGGTTTTGGGGGGAGATTTGGGTGGGGGTGCTTTCTGGTAACTTTCTTTGTATCTGATAGTCACATAGTACGTGCCTTTATTTGCCTATATAAAATTTGAGTTTCAGTGATTTAATTGGGTTTTGGTTTTAGTCAGAACTTTATTCCTTTTCTGTTGATGTTCAAGCACAATTTCAAATTATTGGTGCAATCTATATGTTTGTCTTATTTTTCTTTAACAAAAGCAGCCTGATTATTTGTTTTGGGGCATTTTTGTTTTGTTTTTGCTTTTGTTTTGGCAGGTATCAGAGTCTTTACTTGTGCAGACTCCAGCTGTGCCTCCTGGCCCATGCCTCCCTCCCAGATTACAGGGCAGACCCAAAGCAAAAGAAGTACAGTTACGATGGGGTAATTTTCATTCTGGTAATACATTATAATTAAGTTAGTACTAAATATATTCCTCTTGTTAAATTGCATGAATCTTCCACTTTTAGGACCTCCTTTGGTCGATGGTGGATCACCCATTTCTTGCTATGGTGTGGAGATGTCTCCTGTAGAAAAAGATGAACCCAGAGAAGTTTACCAAGGTTGTGAAGTAGAATGTACAGTGAGCAACCTTCTTCCTGGAAAGACTTACAGCTTCAGACTCCGTGCAGCTAACAAAATGGGGGTAGGAAGACCGTGCTGACTGAATTATAATCACAGTGGTGTTTCATGTAACATGTATAATTGTACCCATTCATTTATATGAGCATTTTGATTTCGACATGTGACTCCAAATTTTACCATTTTTAATAAGCCTGTGTTGATAAATGGGGAAAGTCATACTGTAACTTGATTGTTATAGAATCTCAGTATTTTCAAACACCACTTACTAAAGTCTCACTTTGGACTTCAGCTGAGCTAGTTTGCCTTTCAGGCAGTGCTAATAGGGTATACTTATTAAATTTAAGAACAGAAACAAGGTCATAAGATGAAATACTTGGAATAATTGTTTTGAGGCTGATTTTGTGTGGGTTATTTTTTAAATATTATCTGTGTATCTGTACAGCTCCATAATAAAATGGACAAAATAAGTGGTAGCTCCATTTTACAGCTGAGGAAGCTAAGGCTCAGAAAAGCTAAATGTCTTGCCCCAACAGTTACACAAACAGGTAGAGAGAAGCCACTTTGTCAGACTCCAGAGCCAAAGCCTTTTCCACTCAACTATGACACCTCTCATCTCTCTGAATTATAAGTTCTCGAAGGACAAAGCAGTAATTTCTTTCTTTAATTGAGTAACATTGTGTTTCTTTAAACTACTCTATAATTAAAATTTCATAAAATTAAAACTGCCAAGTCTCTCCTCTCCCATTACTTAAGATTTCAGTAAACTGTGCTATGTTTTACATCCCATTCTCCAACTGAGTTCAGTAATTATTATCTGTAAACTTATTTTTAAATTCCCTATATGTCAAATCATATCCTTTGTTGGCAGTCCTTATATAAGTCATTCCTTCCTGTCTGAAGCCATCATCTTGTCAGTCCCACAAGTCTGTAGTACACTGGGATAGCATCTTTAATACTAATGTCTTTAATACATATTTTCAGGTTTGTAATAGTTTGTCAAAATCTAAAGTAAATATTTGCTCTTCATATTTCCAGAGAATATACATTTTAGACCCTTCTAAAGCTATCCTAAGTTTTAAGATATAATTTATGCCTACCATCTCTCATGTATTTAATTGGTATCCATTTCTTTACTCCTCACATAATTTCTTCTGACATACTCTACCTACCTAATTTCTGAATGCCTTGCCCTTCTTACAAAAACCAATTCATGAAGGAATAAGGGGCAGGAGAAGAACAGTAAATGAAATTTTAAAATACCCTACATATTTATGTCCTTGATCTATCTTAGCTTTCTGTGATTGCTTTCAGAATTTTCTTATGACCAAGTAGTCTTAAAGGAGAGGGATGATGCATTCAATTATTTGTGAATATTTATGTAGAGTTCTGAAATTGATGTGAAAAATGAAAACACTGATTAATATTTGTTTTTCTAGTTTGGACCATTTTCAGAAAAATATGACATTACTACAGCCCCTGGACCACCAGATCAGTGCAAGCCCCCTCAAGTGATGTGCAGATCTGCAACTTGTGCACAAGTGAATTGGGAGGTATTATAACTTCCTTGACTTACATTTACTTTAACTGATTAGAATAGTTTATATAAAAGAATAAAAATACTATTCATTTTCATTTCCATAAATTATACAAAGAGTAAGTCCTAGTTAAATCCACTTGGTAGAAAGTGAATTCTTTTTTCTCTTTGAAGCATTTAAATAAGGTGTATTTACAAGTATTTAGATTCTTGTTCATGATGTGCTTTGTATTTTTTCAAAGGCTCTGTCTCAGTATTGAGATAATTCAGCCACTGGTGAGCTTTAATGTTCAGACGTTCATAGGAATTAGTATAATACTGTTTCTCTTATGTCTCTTATCTTTAGTGTATTTCTTGCTTGTAGTAATAATCAATAATAATTACATTTCCAGTTTCCCTTTTGAAATTTAACAAAAAATGTCCTTTTATTATTTAACATTTTATATTACTTAATAGAATTATTTTGAAGTGTATTTACCTTAAAATTCTCTTTCTAAAGTGATTCAGTCATATTTCTACTTCTAATTGAAAACTAAGTTATATTTTTTGACCAATCTTAAATTCAGGTGGCCTTAATAAACAAAAATGTAATATTGAACAGTTTTGATTCTATTAAACATTTTAAAGAAATCCCCCCAAAAATCCAGTTTTTTATATGCTCAGATAAAGAACATTTTTGCCCAAAAGCTATTTAATCAATGTCAAGACCTAAGACCTTTATCCTTTTCTTAAAGGTCCCTTTGAGTAATGGAACTGATGTCACTGAATATCGATTGGAGTGGGGAGGAGTTGAAGGAAGTATGCAAATATGTTACTGTGGGCCAGGTCTCAGTTATGAATTAAAAGGACTTTCACCAGCAACTACCTATTATTGTAGAGTCCAGGTAAAGATGATCAAGGCCTTGTCACTTATCTATCCAGAGTTTTGTGTTTTATGAGCATTTTCATGGTCATGTCTTTGTTAACTTATGGGCTTTATTAATTTGTAGGCTCTGAGTATTGTGGGTGCAGGCCCTTTCAGTGAAGTAGTAGCCTGTGTGACTCCACCATCAGTCCCTGCTGTTGTGACTTGTCTTCAAGAAATAAGTGACGATGATATAGAAAATCCCAATTATTCACCTTCTACCTGCCTTGCAATTAGCTGGGAAAAGCCTTGTGATCATGGTTCAGAAATCCTTGCCTACAGCATAGACTTTGGAGAAAAACAGCCCTTGACAGTGGGAAAAATTACAAGCTACGTTATAGACAATTTGCAACCAGATACAACATACAGGTATACAGTAAAAACTGTTTTAATTTTTGCCTAGACCAGAGAGACACTTTAAATAGAATAATCATAAACTAAACTTTTTTTTTTAATGTGGCACTTAGAATACGAATTCAAGCCTTGAATAGCCTTGGAGCTGGTCCTTTCAGCCACATGATAAAATTGAAAACTAAACCCCTCCCTCCTGATCCACCTCGTCTGGAATGTGTTGCCTTCAGCCACCAGAACCTTAAACTGAAATGGGGAGAAGGAACCCCAAAGACACTGTCGACAGATTCTGTTCAGTACCACCTTCAGATGGAGGATAAGAATGGAAGGTAGGTGTTTTTAATTGCTTCTTTACATAGTTCCATAGGTCTTAAATATATAAAATTCTTTAACAATAGAATGAAGTTTTCAAAAGGCGTTCTTGTAAGAAATAATTTAAGTATACTGTTTTGAAACATCAGAAGACATAATGAAGATTTCCTGTTTATAACTGTGAGGGGGATACAAGAGAGAAAAAGTTAAGTGAGCTTTTCTTTGGCTCTCATCTCTAACCCATTTACTCTCTTCAAGCTAGTAAAAGAAACATAATCTTTGCTACAAAATAAGTTCTTCAATGCTTATTTCCAGCCAGAGGCAATATGTACAGTAAATGATTGATTGGCTTAAGGCTTTTGAGATCCTTGAGGGCAGGAATTACGTCTCACCCTCCTCCACGGCCTCACAGGGCCTGCACACCAAGTGAATACAGTAGCTCACTTCCTCACCACCAGGTCTTAGTTTAGAACCCCCGATACTCAGGTTCTCATCTTTGCTGCCGTCCTTTGCAGGTTCAAACATCCGTGCCACACAGTGCCCACTACATCATACACTTCAATTACAACGTTACTCAAAATAATTGCGATGTAAATTACTCAATTCCAATCAAGGGCAGTTTTTTTTGATATTATATCCAAAATAAACAATGCCATATATCTTCCACAGATGTTACTCTTATGATATTTTAAGAATTTGAGTTTTGGGGGTTGTTTATTTTTTTGTTTTTTACTTTTCACTCTATATATTAGAAATAATTTATATCTGATAGATTCAGAGTACTAGTGATTCTTCCCAAGATTACTTTGCTTTTTGTGTTGGGTTTGTATCTTAGCCAAGTATTCAATAATGGAATATTCAAGGTGCTTGTATACAAGTACTCTCTATCAGAAATACTTACGTATATATCATGTATATATCATATATACACATACACACACACACAATGGAATATTACTATTATAAAAAAGAATGAAATAATGCCATTTGCAGCAACATGGGTGGACCTAGAGATTACCATATTAAGTGAAGTAAATCAGAGAAAGACAAATATCATATGATATCACTTATATGTGGAATCTAAAAGAAAAGATACAAATTTTATTTACAAACCAAAAACAGACTCATGGACATAGAAAACAAACTATGGTTACCAAAGGGAAAAGGGCGGGATGCGGGGGATAAATTAGGAGTTTGGGATTAACAGATACACATTACTATATATAAAAGAGATAAACAACAGGGACCTACTATATAGCCCAGGGAACTATATTCAGTTTCTTATAATGTATAATGGAAAAAAATCTGGAAAATAATATGTTTGTGTATAACTGAATGGCTTTGCTGTACACCTGAAACCAACATTGTATATCAACTACATTTCTGTATAGCACAGGGAACTATATTCAATATCTTGTAATAACCTGTAATGAAAAAATATGAAAACAAATATATATGTGAATATGTATGACTTAAACATTATGCAGTACACCAGAAGTTGATAGAATACTGTAAACAGACAATTAAAAAAAAGGAAGAAAAATAAATTACACTTCAATTAAAAATTTAAAAAAAGAAATTCTTGCACATTTAAAATAGCATACAGAATTAAACATAACCATATCAACAGTAAACAGTACACAGAGCAAAAGTATTGATCATTTCCTGAAATCTGCGCCTCTATGAGGGTTAGCTTTTATTTTGGCAGAGTTTTATGTACTCTTTGTAGCCTTATCTCTAGAAGGAAGTTCTTTGCCTTTTCACAGGTTTTTGGTATAGCCATTTATCTTTAATATGTGTTATTAGGTGAATTAATTCTTTAAGTTATTGTTATCCTTCTGTCATTTGCATTTGGGGTAGTGCAAGGTTTACTAGAAACAGGTTTAATTGGTGTTTGGTTGAAAGATAATAGAACAAAGATTCTGTTAAATATAGATTATATTATAGTCTGCATTCTGTTATACTACTTCAAGTGTAATTAATATTTAGCTAGTATCTAGAGAATTGTAGGGTATGGCTAATGGCCTTTGGCTGTGGAAAATAAAGAAATTAAAACCTTTCATAATAGTATCAGTTTATTATAAAATTTAATTAAGTCAATTTAATATCTTTAGTTACTTTCCTTCCCTTTAATTTTTCACAACTCTTCCCTTCACTTGCTGTGGGATAGTGTCAGGATGCTACTTCAGCTGTTCCCTGACTACAGGTTTTGTCATTGATCAGTTTTTTTCAACAGTGGTTTTGCCACTGGTTTTTTTCCTATCATTAAAGGAAAAAAAAAAATTGGTGAATCAAGAGTTAAGGCTTATCCAGTCACTGCTTCTTGGATATACTGTTACTTCCAGTCATTGAATATTTCTTCATTTTTAACTTAACTACAGTTTTCAAACTGTAAGAATACATGAGTATTCATTATTCATTTCTCAATTTCCAAAAACTTTTTAAATAGCCAATCAAAAATATTGGGGAACAGTCAGCTTATAGATAACATACATGATACTAAATTTTCTATTGAACAGTTCAAGTGGATAATTTATGGGAAATTATATATTATCTCATACTGTTGTGTAAATCTTAAGAAAACCTCACCAAATCAATTGAAATTGTGCCTGGGAAGAGGAATTCTCTTTTTTTATGTGACAAATTATATGCCTCTGACTCTAGTTAGAAATAATTTATAATGAAAATTGTGATGCTTAGAGTAAAAAGTGTACTTTACAAAGACAGTGGTCAGAAGCAAAGCTATACCAGAAGCCCAAAAAGAAAGTTACTATGGTTGGATATGATATTTAGCAATAAATATTTAGGAAACCATGTCAAATTGGGAAATTTACTAATTCTATGATTTTCATCTTCTGATGAGATATGACAAACCATTGCTGGTATTAAATTCTAGGAGTAAGTTATTACTCCTGAATAGTAACCGAACTATACTTTTTTTTAATATTTTGTTTTATTTTTTAAATTTTTTGTTGTGTTTTCTTTTGTTTGGGGGGGTGGTAATTATGTGTATTTATTTATTTAAACAGAAGTACTGGGGATTGAGCCCAGGACCTCGTACATGTTAAGCACACACTCTACCACTGAGCTATACCCTCCCTTCAGAACTATACTTTTTTAGTATTTAAACATTTTTCATAACATAATCAAAGTTTATTTTTCATAAGAGTCATTTCCGTTTTAGGTTTGTATCCTTGTACAGAGGTCCGTGTCATACATACAAAGTCCAAAGACTTAATGAGTCGACATCCTATAAATTCTGTATTCAAGCTTGTAATGAAGCAGGGGAGGGTCCTCTCTCCCAAGAATATATTTTCACTACTCCAAAATCTGTCCCAGCTGCCTTGAAAGGTAAGATATACATCCTTAAGTTATTTTCAGTGTATTTTCATCAAGTACTTTATTTGTACTATTATTAAAATTTTATCCTGTATGTGTCCAACATTTAAATTATAAGAAGGAAATTATATAGACAAGCCTACCTTCTGGGAGTTTCACTTAATAATAATAGCTGTTGTATCTGGCACACTGATAGTCAGACAAGTGCTGTTTTGTTTTTATCACTGATCTTTTAATAATCTAACTTAAGTAGACAGCCTGGTTTTCTAATAGGTTCATTTGCTATTTTCACTATTGTTACTTTAAAAAGATCACAATTCTGGTTCTTTTGAATTGTTGCTGTTTCATTCATTTGGATTTCAGGGAAAGAACCAGGTCATCTGTTGAGCAAAACATAAATAAATACTTAGCTAACTTGAATTTTTAAATCAAATTTACACATATGTTTGTATATACATATATCTTTAAAATTAATTTCAGCAGGATTCTTATTTTAAAAAGACCCTGGTCGGTACTGCACTTAGTGCATTTAGCCCCAAAAAATAAAATTTCTTACCCTTTGAGGACAAATCACAAAGACTGCTAGTACAGTGTCCTGGATCATATACTTTAATGTATCATTTGTTAAGCAGATCCATATTTAGTAAGAGTGTTCTTGAATAGTCTTTCTAATAATGTTGATGCATTTCACTGAGTTATTTTTCTGTTCCTTTATCTGGTTAAGTGTCTCTTAGCCTTAAGAAGATTGCTGATTTTAACACCTTTGTACCCCACTGTTGAGTGAACAGTAGTATGTGGTAAAGCAGCTAGGGGTATTTTTCAACTCATTCTCTTAGATTTCTTAAATTATAAAATTTCATGTTCAGTTATGCTCTTTGAAGTACCATAAACAAAGTTTTAGGACTACCATTGGCTTTTTAGCTCAGTGAAAATAGTGCTTACCCTGACATATCTTTTAATCAGTCTGGTCATTGTAGCACTTACAGATAATAAGGCCTGGAGATTTTAAGAGTGAGACATTGACCATTTCTCTGCAAATTTCAAAAATTCACTGATACTTATTTCAAGTTTATAACTGGGTTTTAAAATCTGTTGATTTTGGCTAAAACAAGTGTCTTGTGTCAAGTTAAAATTCAAGTAAAGCATATTTTATTTATATGTATTCTCTACAGCCCCCAAAATAGAGAAAGTAAATGATCACATTTGTGAAATTACATGGGAGTGTCTACAGCCAATGAAAGGTGATCCAGTTATTTACAGTCTTCAAGTTATGGTGGGAAAAGATTCAGAATTCAAACAGGTATGTGCCAAGATACAATTCTATAGATACATATTTTTACCTTTTTCACTTTTATGTATTTTCAATGCAAGATTTGACTACCTTTATGTTCCTAATTCAAAAATATTTGTTCACTGCTTACTATGTTCCAGAGATTAGTAACTACATAGTATCTCAGGATTCATAATCTTTTGGGTGTGAACTGCACTTAGAGTATTTATTCATTTGACAAGTATTTATTGAACTTTGTGCCAGGCACTCAGAATACAGCACTGAACAAATAGTCCTTGCCTCCATGCAGCTTACATTCCAGGAGAAAAAGAGATAAAGCAAATAAACACATTAGTGTATCATGTGTTTGATAGTGATAATCACAACTGATAAAAACCTGGATAAAAGGAATAGGGAGTACTAGGGCAAGGCATAGTTAGTACTGTTTCATACAGAGCAGTCAGGTGACATTTGAACACAGACCCAAAGGAAGTGAATAGAAGAGTGTTTCAAGAAGAAGAAACAGTAGGTGCAAAGGCCCTGAGGTATTTAATGGGCAACAAGAAGGCCAGTATGGCTTCTTGTGACTAGTGGAACGAGGACAGAAGCAGAGAGACCATTGAGGAGGCTTTTACAAGGATAGTAATAGTCATAGTTATAATGCAGTGTTGCAAATATGACAACAGACACAGTTATTACAGAAGCCTAGAGGAAGTATCATCACCTTCCTGGCTGAGAAATTTCAGATAGGTTCCTGGCAGAGGGTGAATAAGCAATGAAGTATGGAGCTGGCAGTGTTCATTGTAACTTTTATACAGAAGCTTTTATGTAACTCAGAAGCTTTATTTCTATAAGCATTTCATCTGCTTCTCTCTTTTGCTGTCAACCTTCTGGAATTTGAGGGCTTTTAGATGGGTTGTTTTCATTTTATCTTGTTTTCATCTTATCTTGTATTTTCTTTAATCACTAGAGAAATCAGTCATTCATCTGTTTTATTTCACTCTAGTGCTGTTATAACTATTAATATTTTTCAATACAGGTATAATATTTTTCTTTCAAGTTTTGCTAGGTATGGAAGCATAATTTCTTAATTGAAATTACAAAAGGCCCCAGAGACATTAAATTTGGCATGTGATTGTTTTTCTTTATTAAGCCATCTGCAAATTGACATGATAATTAGATTTGAATATAATTTACAGATAAGCAGGTTTCCTTCCAAGGAAGAAGCAAAGTTAATATTAAAGAAAATGTAATTATATTACATGTTTAAAGGCAGTAGGGACCCCATATTTGAGTAGTGTATGAATTTTAATAAACATATCACTACATGAAACAGCAGTGTTAATTCTAATTTAGTTTAAAAGCTAAATTAACCCTATCATCACCCTTACTTTACATTGTAAGCATACTGTAAAACTTAAACTGATTTCCTTAGAACTTCATCATATATATGCTCATCTAAATCTCTGAAATGTTGATAAAATTTTACAATTTATTGACAAGTTATATTCCAGAAGTTTGAAGGTCAATTTTTAGGAGTTCAATTTTATTCATGGAATTTAATATTTTACTTAAAATTTACTTCATATTCAAAACACATGTATTAAATACTACACATAAAGAATTTGGAGGGGCTACATTATTTTTAAGTTACTGTTGTGATTTCAAGAGAGTTGTTTGCCTTTATACAGCAGACAGATGAGTTTCTTAATGAATAGATATTTTTAAAATATCACTTAAAGATGCAAGCAGTGATACTCACTAGCTTCCATGTCAAAAATAATTCTAAAACTAGCCAGATTCGACATAGATTTTCTGCCCAGCCTTCACAGATGATTCTTTTTCTAATGTCTTCCTATCAGATTTACAAAGGTCCTGACTCTTCATTCCGGTATTCAAGCCTTCAGCTGAACTGTGAATATCGTTTCCGTGTGTGTGCCATTCGCCAGTGCCAAGACCCTGTGGGGCATCAGGACCTCGTAGGTCCCTACAGCACAACAGTGCTCTTCATCTCTCAGAGGACGGACCCACCAGCTAGCACCAACAGAGACACTGTGGAAAGCACGAGGACCCGGCGGGCACTTAGTGACGAGCAGTGTGCAGCCGTCATCCTTGTGCTGTTTGCTTTCTTTTCCATTCTGATTGCCTTTATCATTCAGTACTTTGTAATCAAGTGAGAATATATTTTTAATACTGTATTACATTTTATTTTGTCATGTACTAAAATTATTTCTGTATTGCTTTTACAAAAACAGTGACATTTAGCACTGGCATTGAGACTATAGTACATCATTTTTGCCATTTTCAATGCTTATATTGTTAGGTAGAGGCTGGCACCTTATTAGAATGAAAGCCACAGAAATAGCAATTTTTGAATTTTTATTTGGTTGGGGCTCTTTTTTTTCTCTTTTTCTCTTTTTTCTTTCTTTTTTTTCTCTTTTTTCTTTCTTTTTTTACTCTTTTTCCTTTCTTTTTTTTTTTTTTTGACACGGCTTCTTGTGAAACAAACTTTCTAAGAGGCAACAACATATAATTGATATTTTGACCAGTCAGCATGAGTGTAACAGTGACGACCTGATCTGTTTGTTTTAAAGATTATTACCTAGTGAAAATTGCAGAACGATTAAAATTTACACTAACATGCTACATAAAAATGTTAAAAGTATGATGCTGTGAAAGCAATCTAGTGCTATATTTCTACCTCCTCATTTGTCTTAATTATTTGGTAAGTGGGATTATGATGAATAACTGGAGGGGCTTAGCAAACAAAAACTGGATAAAAGAATATGCATGGAAAAAAGAAGCGTTTTGTTTGATAAATGTGGAGTTCTTCATTACAGGTATATATTCATGAATTCACAGAGAAGTCATTTAAAGAAAGCACAGTTTACTTGGCCTAAAAATATTTTAATGTTTACTCAAAAAATACATCTTCAGGTCTTGAGAATATGGAAAAGAACGGAGGGCTTTTTAGATAGTTACTTTTTTAAAGTAATCATAATCAATTCTGAATTTCAAATCCTATTTAATTTGGTTTTGTGAGCCTTTGAACTATATGTATGGGTATAAGGACATGCACATACATATATGGCTTTATATATATCAAGTGTAGAAATATATATATAGACACACACACACTCTCTCTTACTCCATCTATCTGGTATAGGCTAATTTTGAAAAACTCCCATAAGTTTTGCTGCTTCTCCTGTAACTACTGCCATCACCATCAGAATTCATAATCAAACCTAACCTTTTTGTTTGGGGCACCAAATCTGAAGACAAAATTAATTTGCACCAGTAAACTTCGAGCTGCTTTCTTTCTTGAAAAACTAATGTTTAATGTAATGTCTGTTTGGATACCGTTCCAGTTGTTGATTGCATGTGGTTAATGTTGCATTTGAGCACTTTGCAATTGCATAATTCATTAATGTTTTGTGAGCTTGCATTTGTGAGTTATCAGATGATCAGATTGAATTTTGTCAGGTATCACATTGTACATCTGGCACAGATGTCCATGACTGCCAGTAATAATACAGTCTGTAATGAAACTATCTAAAATTCTTGTTTTATCACATCTGTTATCTGTAAAACACTTGTAACTAGCCTTTTTAATTTATTATTTGAATTTTAGGATAGTGTATCACTAATTTTAGTTGCTGAGGTTAGCATTTTAGTGATTACTAAGCACTTCTGTCAGTCTTTGAAAAAAGGACATATGTTTTGTGCTTTGAAGATCTCTGAAGAATTTCTCTTATATTAGAATGGGCATGTATTGTAATTGTTTTATGTCAGATGATCTGTGCTGTAGAAAAAAACATTAACCTTTGTTCAAAAAAGAAATGGATAAACTTGGCCTTCCCAAGTGGTTAAGAATGATCTGTCACTATAAAATACTGTATGTTTACATTTTATTTAAATTTAATCTCTTATGTATAGGCTGATGACTTTCCCCCAGAACAACAGTGATTGAGATTGTTTTCTAGAACTTCTTAAAAGTGCCACATTTGGCAGTACAAATGAGTTTGAGTGTAATAGCCCAGAGATTTCTATATAGTTGAATGTCTAAAATGGTAAAATGTGCCACTATGGCAGTTACAGTGGCTTATGTTTTTCATAGTAACTCAAATGAACTCCTATTTTTGATAGTAAATGTCATTTAATAGTGTACTTGCCATTTGAGCCTCACTGCAAAATTAGTGCAGAGGAGAAAACAATTTTTAATGTAATCTTGACTTTACCTCATATACTGTACATTCCAAAAACTCTAAACTTTTTAAAGATTATAAATACACTACCAAACATATCACCTTAAAATTGTATAAGGTTGAACTTCATACAAATGAAAAAATATAATCTCATAAAAATACATAAACTATGTAGCAAAAGTATCTTTAAAATCCATGGAAAATAAAAGTTGTATCATTCTTTTTTGAGATTTGTTTATTGTATTCATATACATTAATTATTTGCTGCCTCTTGGAAAATGAAATGTTAAGGTCTCCCCTCTTGCAGCTGACTTACAACAACTTTCCCAAAATGTTTTAATCTTCAATATGAAAGGATCTATATTCAAGAATGTCAAGTTTTATTCTAGTGACCTGACTTTGTGGAATTCATTAGATACCTTGCTGCTTTTATGTATATATAAAGAATAAGGATGAGGTAAACATCCCATTGAAAAGAAACTCTCTGACCTCTCCTCACCTATCCTGCATTCTCCACCTACTTATTATTTTCTTTCTCCCACCTACAGGGGCCCAGAACCTTCCTGTCACCTGCCCTGCCGTCTTCCCCCAGGTTTGCCCTCCACTGAACAGGTCAACATTCCCTCCTACTTAAACCATGCAAGGAAGTTCTCAGCTGTACCCGGACTTTCAATGTTGCCTCTCACCCCGTTAAAATTTCTGTTCCATAGACCTCATCCAGGGATACATTGCTTTTTAAAATCCAAGTGGATCTTTCATTGCCACAACTGTAGTCACCACATAAAGATCTAAAATGTTATCCCAGGGAAGAGGAGACACTATGGATGTAGGAGCATCACTCCGTGGGAGCAACCAAGTTGGAGTCCAGCCTTGAGAAGAACATGATACTGATTTACAATGGTGCACATCACCTCATTTTTTTTCCTATTGGTTGGAAATAGGAAATGTTACATACTGTGCTTGAGCATTCTGTGGGTTGGTTTCCAACACAAGTATCTTCTCACAAGCAGCTTCTCTGAAGAGGATTCCATGTGTATGGTGGCTCAGTTAGGCAAACAGACTGCAAAAGGAAGTGGGTCCCCAAAACCTAAAACCAGTCATCCTACAGTCTAATCAATCACCTACCTTCAATATAGGTGATGATAGTGCCTCAGGTTTCTTAACTCTTTTTAAATATTCCATTTTCACATACAGTTTTAGGATAATGCATATGCTCTTCATTCGTTATTTTCTCCCTGATATTCTTAAAAGGGAAGTTGAGAGAAGAACTAAGATTTTAATAGTTATGATCATCAAACATTCAGTGTCTGGAGTGGTGCCTTCAAATGTTTAGATACTGTAAGGACTATTCTTCATCTTATATAATAAACAGGATGCTGTGGGAAATTTGCCAAGAGAAAAGTTTCAAAACGATAGATTTTGAAGCCACATGACCCATTCAAATCATAATAGCATCTATTGACCACACAGTATGTGCTGGTATTATGTTCAGGGCTTCACCCTAGTTATCCCATATAATCCTCTTAATTGCTCTATTAAGTATAAACTAAAGCACATAGAAAAGCATCTGCCAAAGATCACATGGCTAACAAGTGATGGAGCTGAGATTTGAGACCACGTGATTGGTCTGGTGTCCCCTGCCCACCCCCCACCATCCTCTGCTATCTCCCGGAGAACTCCTGAATTCTAGGAAGGAAATCAAAATAATAATTGACTTTAATATTGCATTTATGATAGCCTTTATTATTATTGAGTAGTTCCTGTATGACAGGCATTGTGTTAAATACTTCCTCATATCCAAAACAACCCACAGCCCCCTAAGGACTGAACAGAAGCAAGTCAGACAAGGAGAATCTGGTACAAGCATATTAGACTAAATGTGAAGCTCCAATTTCTTTCCTCTATAATTTTATCCTTTGATACTTAAGATTCCCATTTTGAGCCTCCACTCTGTCCTGGAAATAACCCATTCTCTTAAATACTCATTCATCCACAAATGAGACAAGCTAACATGTTTAAAGGGGGAATATAGCTACAATGTGGATGAAGCTCAAAAACATGCTAAGGGAAAGAAGCTAGACACAGCAGATCATACATCGTATGACTCTATTCATAGGAAATATGGAGGCTAGGTAAAGACAGAAAGATGAGTGGTTGCAAGGAGCTGGAGAGAGGAGGAAATGGGAAGAAAGTGCTTAATGTGTATGAGGTTTTGAGGGGAAATGTTTTAGAACTTGATAGAGGCAGGTGGCCACTCCACAACATTGCGAATGCACTAAATACCACTGAAATACTCACTTCAAAATGGTTAGTTTTATGTGAGTGTTCACCTCAATTTCCAAAAGGGACTATAAGACAGACCTGAAGACCAACATACAGATAGCACAGGACTAGAGAATCCTGGACATCATTAAGTCAATAAGATAAACTTAGCTCATCATTAAATCCATGCTTCTGAGGACACGGACCGACTTCTCACTTCCTTTCCAAACTTCCCAGACTGCCTTGGGTGTTCCCACCTCTTGTGGTTGGGCTGTGCCTGGTTCACAACCGAATCTTTTATGGATGTCTTTGATAGCTAGTAAATGACTTGGCCTGCCCAGGCCTAAGTTAACAGCTCTAACTGACTCCTAACACTTCTAGGATGACCCGCTTGTCTTGGAGAAGAAATTATATTTGACAGTTCTGCATTTTATCAATGACAGCAGCTATACAGTAAGACTGTTCATGTAAAGCAGTACAAGGCCTTTTTCCTCACAGCCTATATTCTCAACAGCAATCTAGAAAACAACATTTGAGAAAAATTAGTGTATTAGCTGCTCACGTGCTAATACTAATAAAATTAATGTATGATTCTCTACATTTTATTCAGACCATTAAAACCAGCATGAAGTTTAGTATCCAGTCATGCTATAAAAAAAACTTGGAGTCCATTCATATAAATATGGCTCAAAATGACCTCAGAGGGGTGAAGAGTATAAAACTGCAAAGGGTCCAGAGAGTACACATTTCCAGAAAAAGCACACACAGTTTATGACAATATCATTAACAGTTACTTCTTTTAAAGGGACACCTAATTATAAAAGATACTGTAAGTAAATTAGTATGGTACTGCCATTCATTTGGGAAAACAAAAATAGAAAAACTCTGAAAAAGCTCAATGAGAGGGGGACCAACTGCACTATATGATAAAGCCTCGATAACTGATAATACCAGCAGGAAATAATAAAGGAATAGATTAGAAAGCCCAGAGTCCCAAGTACATACAGCAATTTAGTGCTTAATAAAGCTGACACCTCAAGTCAATGGAGTAAAAATGAACAATTCTATAAATGATATTGGTACAACTGGGTAGCCACCTAAAAATTAAAGTTGGATCCATATCTCATACACAGCTTACATCAGAATGAAGTCCAAATGAATAAAAAAAAGTTAAATGTAAACAATGAAACAATAAACTAGAAGATGGGAGATAATCCTTTTATAATCTTGGAGTGGTGGTGGCCTTTTAAGTCACACCTCAACATATAGAGGCCACAAAAGGAAAGAATCATTTTAATGTCATAATAATAAAAACTTTTGTACAGCAGTTTAAAAAGAGTTACAGCAAATGGCAAACAGGGAAAAAATACTGGCACTCATCCCAGAAAAGGGTTAATCTAATTTCTCTAATACAGGAAAATGCAATAAATTCTGAACTATGGAGACAAAAGGACTAATAACAGAGTACAAAAACAAGCAAAGGATACAGACAGTTCATAGAAAAGGATATACAAGGGGGGAGGGTGTAGCTCAAGTGACAGAGCACATGTTCAGCATGCATGAGGTCCTGGGTTCAATCCCCAGTGCCTCCTCTAATAGTAAATAAATAAGGAAACCTAATTACCTCCCCCCACCAAAAAATAAATGAATGAATAAAAGGTTATACAAAGAATTCAAACATATGACAAGATGCTCGATCTCACACACAAGAGAAATGCAAAGTAAAACACAGAAAAGCCATTTTTCACTTTCATCGGCAAAAATGTAAAACTGATCACACATTATGTTGGTAACACTATAGAAAAACAAGACACACCCCTGTGAAGAGAAATTACACGCTACACAGGCTCTTTGATCAGGCAAATCCACTGACAAATATTTATCCTACAGATCTAATCACCCACTGTGATGTGGGACAACACTATTCACTGCAGACCTGTTTGTAACAGCGAAAGACTGGAAGTCACCTAAATGAGAAACAATGGGAAACTGGTGCAATAAACTGCACACTCAATGCAATGGAATACTATGCAGCTGTAGCAAAAAGATGACGGTAGCCTTCTATTTACTGATCTGGAGGGAACGCCAAGATACATCATTAAGTTAAAAAACAAAGCAGAATAATGCTGTCTCTCCGGTCAGGTGTCCTATTCTCCACGTCTCCTGGACCCAGGCCAGACAGGTAAGTGAATGAGTCTTCAGATGATGCCAGCCCCGCTGTCTCCCAGCCTTTGGGTCCTGGCAGCTGAGGACCCAGACATCATGGAGCGGACACCAACCCTCCCTCAATTCCTGATTCACAGAATTAGCAAATAAAATGGTTGTTTTAAGCCACAGAGTGGTCAGAGATTATGTAGCAGTAGTTACTGGAACACCTGATTCAAATTCCTAATACACAGTCCTTGGCCAAATAAAGGTTCTCCTCCTTCAGGGCATTCCCCACCCACCCCACCCTCTTTCAACTGAGGCTGAAAAGAGGCCAGGTGACGTCTTTTCACCAATGAAACGTGAGCAGAAAAGACACTCGTCCCTGTATTCGCTGGGATTCAGTCAGGAAAACAGATGCGACGCTAGTTATTCAACACGATACTCAACACAGATCATTCAACTTTGGGCATAGGGTAGCAAGTGTTAGAAGACTGAAAAAGCAATCAGATGACACTAGGCTGACATAGAGGTAATAACCATACTAAAAAGCTGCCACTTTGGGAGTTGGGAGCAAAGGGAAGATGCTGAGGGTTTCCAGCCTAAAAGGTGGTATGAGAAGCCACAGTAACACCGGGAGTGAGACCCCTGGGGTAGAGCTGCTGCCTGGCTGCTGCTGGGGGGCTTCTGTTTGTGCCCAAAGGAGCTGGAGACTGGAACCCATGCTGCTGGGAGGGCACAGGGCAGAGAGGAAGGAGCAGGTGCCTTCTCCGATCCCTGGTCTCCAGCACCCCCACTCACAAGCCTAAGGCAGGCAAGGCGAGCAGCTGACAGAATCCCAGAAGGGAGGGTTTAGAGCCCAGACACAACAGCTGAAAGCATCCCCGGTTCCGTGGGAGCATTTAAGAGGTGGCCTCTATTGTCTCTCTTCCCCTGCCTCAGAGATTATGGGAGCATCTGCTCTCATGGAGATGCCATGTGATCAAAGCAGCCTTGGAACTGGAGGAACAGTGAGCCATCAAGGGGAGACAGCTGCTCTGGACCGTCCCCCAGGCTCGAGGCAGGCTGCGGGAGCAAGAAAGCTAGGGACGGATGGGGAGAGGAACCTCTCTCCTCTCCTCCGCGCTGACCCGCGCTCCCCCTGCAGACCTGGCCAGGTTACTGTGGCCCCGCCCCCAGGCACCTGCGCAGGTGTGAGGGGCTGGACGTAGGGGCAGCTCCCTAGGGAGGCGAAAGTGAGCGGTAAGACCCTCCTCAACCGTATGTGTCAGCGGTGTTGGGAGGCAACAAGAGCTCTGGGAGCATCGGGGACACACTCTCATCCCGCTGAGGGGCTTGGGAAGTGTGACCTGGAAAGAATGACATTTTAGGTGACCTTGAAGGGCAAATGGGTTGGGCTCTTGACACAGAGAGAAGGAAGGAGAGCCAACAGCAGGAGCCAAGACATGAGGGCCAGAAAGCATAAGATTTGGCCAGAGATGGGGGGTGGTTTCAACCCAAGGATAAACTCCTCCTTCTCTTGTTATCATCATGATCAATAAGAACTAACAGTTATAGAGGGCTCGCTATGTGCCAGACACCACGCTAAGGAGTTTGTGTTGTCTCACTGGAACAACGCAGTGAGACGGGTCCTGGTGTCAGCAGCCCTATTTACAGACAAGGAATAGGCGACTCAGAGGCACTAAGTGAGTTGCCCAAGTTCACATACTAAGCGGTAGACCTTGCCCGTGGGGGGACTTCTGCATCCACACTCTTCATCACTCTGTTCAGGGTTCCCTGAGGAAACACCCCACCCTGACCCCGGCATGGAAGATGGGGGATTCCCCACCAACAAACTCGCTTCTGTCTCCGTTTCATCCCCCAGAAATGGAGTGAGAACACTCATAGTCCTAGCTCCTGAGACAGAAAGCTACACCCAAGGGGCCCCCTTAAAGGGTAGAAATAATCAACAATAACCCTGTCCCCCTAGAAGATGAATATCGTGCCAAGGATGCCCAGAAATCTCTCCTTGTTACTTTATGCAAGTACTCCTTATTGTGGGTGCGTGGCCACTGTGGTGTCTTCCGACCGGCCTCCACAGAGGTCTGAAGGGCAGATGGTGTTTGTTCAAACTTGGAAGGAGGGGAGGTGGGAACAGATGACTCAGGGGGAGCACTTGGAGGTCTTTCCACATGTTGCAATTCAAGTCAGTTGCATCATACACAATGGTTATAGTGTTTTTTATTTTCACCTTCCAGAACACTCTGAGATTTCTGCTACTACAGAGCAGAGAGACTTAAGGCTTACATCTCCCCCACCTCCTTAACTTTGAGGGTGGCGCCACACTCAAAGCAGCGACGGCCCAGTTCTCCAAACCTAAATGTGACGGCATCCAGGCAGCTAAGTGTGTCTCTGTGGCTGATGGCTGCAGAAGATGCCACCAACCCCCTGATGGCAGAAAGGGCATGTGAGGGATGCTTAAACTGGGCCCAGGGTGAGCCACTGTCTTGTGGGAGGAAGATGGTCATTTTTGACCATGGACTGTCAACTGGGGCCAGAAGAGGGTCCTGGAATCTCCAGGAGGGTATTTCCAGGTCCTATACCCTCCTCTCAGGGCCTTGCTCCCTGTCCACCGCTGCCCTTGATCACTGTTGCCATGGTGAGCCTGTCTCTCTCTCTCTCCAGAGAAATGGAGACCAAAAGAAAACTGCTAAAGCAACAGTTGCAGAGTAATAGGAATCTGCGTAGTCCCCAAGTCTTGCCTGAATTTGCTCTGTCATGCCCCTGCTCTGCAAAGAGAAACCCAGGAAAGCCTGAGGCCCCGGGTCCTTGCAGTCGTCGAGCGCTGAAGGTGAGATTTGGCCAGAACTGGCCCCTGGTCTTCTCTGCCACGGGCTAGCTTTGCCATTTCAGTGTTGGATTAAATAAGATGCCGCTTACTGGCTCCTGGAGTCTCAAGGCACCAGCAGGCTGTGCCGAGGAAGGAGGGGCTGGGCATGCAGCCCACGGCCACCTTGAGAGTGAGGAGGGCCGTGGGGAGCGTGCATGGTGTGGGCCGTTCCACCAGGGCAGCTGCTCCTCAGCCTGGATTCCATGGCCTGTGGGGGTAGGGGGAGCCTAGAGGGACCAGATCTTCCCCTTTTGCAAGACAAGCTGGCATTCCAGAACTCGAGGTGAAAAGTCCCAACTGTATAAGGTGGGCTCAAGGTGTTATGAGATGTGGGTCATTTGCTGTGCAAACTCGCTTTCAACTTCTTCACATCCTGCTCTTCAGTGGAGAAAAAAGTGTAAAACCGATGGAGTTTTTGCAAGTTTCAACAAGTACATGGAAAATTACGGTGTATCTCAATGCCCTTTACAACCTTACTTCCGTATCCTTCCATTTGTCCACAAAAGCTGGTTTCTGGAATTTGAGCTGAAAGACACTTTCCTTGCAAAGCTGATCACACCAAGCACTCCTAAGGTTGGTCGTGCTAGGGTCTACACAGCAGTACAGAGGTCGTGCCCACGGCCCTGGGACGCAGACAGTATTTCCACTTCCTGGCTGCATGACCTGAGGCAGCTTCTCTGGGCCTTGGTCTTCTCCTCCATAAAATGGATGTACTCAAAAGTCTGTTGTCAAAAACTCAGTGAGTTGCCATCTGCAGGTACTCAGAACAGCACCTTGCACACAGCACATGTTAGCTTTAGTTTTCTTCAGAACATCCCAGCCTGGGAGAAAGTGAGCTAGAAAGACAAAGGGTGGAAGTCAGAGACTGGGAGGGCTGCAATTGAGATGAAGGAGGGCTCCCAGGTCCTGGTAATGATAAAGTGTAAGGGATGTCCACAGGAGCCACTGCCTGAGATGGGGTGGAGGACAAGACCACTGACAGAAGAGGCAGAGAAATGGTGTCAGGGTGTAAACTTCATCAAGAGAAGTGCTTGAGAGAATGAGGGTCAGGCATCAAAATTCTCCAGAATGAGGATGAGTGATGCGGGAGGGGTGGAGAGGGCAGGGTGTGCGAAGTTAGATTCAAAGCTCGGTTTCAGGATGGCTGGGAACAGCAACGCTGAGGAAGGTGGTTGACGGGTACCCTTCCTCCAAGCCCGTAACTCTGCTGCCTGAGAGAGAGGACTGGGGGAAGCCAGCCCTAGGGCAAAGCCTCGTTTCCGTTTCGGAAAGAGGAAGGGAATCTTGGGAAAAGAAGATGAGGATTTAAACCACAGTAGGATGGATAGAAAAACTGCTAGCCCTGTGTCCACCTACAGAGATAAAGAAAAAAAAAAAAACCCTCAGTCCCAAAGACATGAACGTTAAATGGAAAGCACAGCCCCAAACACATCCTGAGCCCTCAGTCTCACCTACTGTCATTAAAATAATAATGAATTGACTTATAAATCAGTTTTAGTCTTTTCCCCAGAATTTTAGTTCTTTCTGGTGTTGGACAATGCTCTCTGCTTTATCAAGTTTACAAAACGTTTTGTACCTAGGAACAATGTAACACACGTTTTGGTGCTCAAATGTACACATAAAAAAAGTCATGAGAGCCTTGAAATCATTCGATCAACTCCAAATTCGAGAATTTACAGAAGAGGAGAACCGGGCTGGGCGAGCTGGGAAAGACCACTCCATTCTAAGCCACGACCGGAACTCGGGAGGGGCTCTAGATTCTGGTCTAAGCTCCTCTCCTATATCGCAGCACCTTCCAACTGTTAGGACCAGGGCGCAGTAACCAGCTAAGGTCCCTCAGAAGGTCCCCCTCTGAACCTGACTGACAAAGGCGCCCGCGCTCCGCTCTAGTAACCAGCTTGGCTGGGGTTCAGAAATCGCTTCCCGCGACGGGACAGGGCCCTTGCTCTGCGGCCGCCTTGCCTCCTGCGTTCGGTTCGTGGGGAGGGAAGCGCCCTGTAATACGAGCAGCCTGGGAGTGGGCGCGGGGCCGGGGCGGGC